CTCAAGAAAGAAGACTACAATTCAGATTACGAAATCCAGTTAGGTTATGGCTACGTATTCAAATTACTGATGATTTTAAATAGAGCAAGAACAAGCATTGATGCAGAATAGTATGAATTCATATTATTTCGAGGTTTCTCGTCAGCTGCTTACAAACCAAAATTGTGATAGAATTTTTACATGGAGATAGTGTGAAACAATTGACATAAATGAGTGTAAATAACGTGATTAGTTATTATTGTAATCACGTTATTTACACTCATTTATGTCAATTGTTTCACACTATCTCCATGTAAAAATTCTATCACAATTTTGGTTTGTAAGCAGCTGACGAGAAACCTCGAAATAAAGGGAACTAATTGCATGAAATTACTGATGATTATTGCAAATTAGAATGTTACTACAACTCTAATAAATACAATCCACGTCGAAATAAATCAATATGTATGCAATCGTCACCAGATGAAGCATTTTCATGGTAGAAAAGCAACAAGCTAAAGATATTTCATTTAAATAAGAATTTGAACTTGTATGTGATTATATTTATTATTGTTTTTACAAGAGTTTCTAAGTGACTGTAATGATAGACTATTCATTATTTAACGTTATCGATATGTTACCTCAGTTCCAGCTTATAATATTATGATATTGAGCGACATAGATTCAAATCCAACAAGAAAAAGAGGTTTCATCTGTAGTAAGCTACTTTTATCAAGAGAACGCGATTGCTTTGACGGAAACAATTATTATTATAACCAGTTGTAGCAGTGATTGTTTTACTGTACCTGTTTGTTTAACTGTACTACCGAAATTCTTTCTTCCGTTGATTGTGACCTTGCACGAATTCGGTTACGCTCAGTAATCACATCTTTAACCTGGAACGATATCGGTATTCTTTCGGTACCACGAGATCACCAACAAATACATCTCGACTACAGCCATCAACTGCCTTCTGATATTTCGCTTACGAGGGATCTTATCGGTTAACTGGCACGTAGTCTTCCTGTAGTGATGATCATAGTCAACCGTGAATCGAGGCCACACTACACATCATTAATGAATATATGCCTACGTTTTAACTACCAGTCGATACGAAATCTGTATCCTATTTTATCCAACTATCTAATGTCAAATTAATGAATGTTACATAACAGTGTACTGTATTAAAATTGATGAATGATTCTGTTAATGACCCAAGATCAACTAATGGAACACTATGTCACCGATAGAAAGTACTGTAACGTTTGTTATTAGACAATTTTATTAAATGCCAATATTTTACTAATCGGAAGAGGTAAAGGTTTCTGTAAGTCAATCCAAGAAAAACAAACAAACAAAATAACTGTTTAACTCTACGAGTGTTCTTCAACCAATATAACAAATAATCTATTCAGTAAATTGTAGCATTTGTACTTATTTCCCTATAGTCAATGAAGTATACACCTGTTAGAAACATTTAAATGTTATACATGTGAGAGTGTACATCGAGCAAACAAACTAATCTTAAAGCTTATTATCTGTTAAATAATTTGAACAAGTGTTCTGTTATGAATATTACCATTTTGACTAGTAATTAAATTAAATAACCATAAAATTTGGAGATCAACTTGACTATAGATTGAAATAGGGAGTAGTGGACACCTGTTACTTATCTTTTATCAAAGATCAGTTAGAAGTACATAACTACAATTTTATAAATGAATCGAAATTAGAACATTTATTTGAGTGTAATAAATTACAAAAGATACACAGACAAAAGTTAATTACACTCAATTATTAACTTCAAGTATTCTTTGAAACAGAACAGTATTAACAACGTTGGATGCCGGCCAACTCAGTGGTCTAAAGGTTAAGCGTTTGCACGTGAGACTGATTGGTCTTGGGATCGAATCTCACGAGGCGGGATCGTGGATGAGCACTGCTGAAAAGTCCCACACTAGTAAGAAACGGCTTTTCAGTGCTTCCACGTTTTCTATGGTCGTCTAGCCTCAATTGACTCATGATCTCAACCATAGAAGGAACAGTATTTATTATTTTTTAATTAATTTCCCATTTAGTTGATTCTATGTAATTAAGTCATAATTGTATTGTAAGCTAACCTATATACACAATGACTCATCATTGAGTAGTAGTGGTCATTACCATATTATTCTATAGATTAGATTGGAAATTGGCTACTAGTCTGAGAGACATAACATTGTGTGTACTATCTCTAGACGTTAAACGGTTTAGTGTAATATGAAGAAAACCTTGTATAACTGAAGTTTCGTGCTAGCTGAAATACATTACAAAAGCGTACCTACAATAGTAAGGGAACTGGTGTACTACATGGGATTCAAAAAGGTGTCAACCAGCCTTATAGACTAAAGAATTAATACTGAGCCATTCAGGCGGTAAATAATAAGCTGTATGATAAAAGTATTTACAATAACTTCGTCAATCAGTAGTGAACAGTGTTATGTTTGTTCAGCCTTAGTAATGGACGAATGCTACTGATCATGTCTGCTACATATAAAGCTAGATTTACAACAGCAACAACAAATATTAATACAAATAATAATAGTATTAATAATAATATTAACGACAATAATGATCATTATTATTCTTATAGTACTTTTTTATTATTCTACAATTCTTGAGTACCTTTTTCGACAAGTAAGCTATGGTACCTTGCTTACAGAGAGCAGAATAACAACCAAATAATCAAAATATCAACTGAAACACATAAACATTATCAAAACTAAATTAACCTACTTTTGCAAAAGTGATTCGCACCTCTAAGTCATGGTCATAGTCATCCGCAACATTATCATCATCATCATCTTCATGATCACCATGATTTACTGAGTTAGAAACGCATTCTTTCAATTCACAACTACTTGTATTATGAATTACATGATCACATTCCGAATCCAAAACTAAACTAGTACTACCATTACTACAATTAATATTCGTCAATATTTGAGTATCTTGTTCCACATTTGATCCAATCAAGTCAATTGGGATTATTTGTTTAGATAGATTTTGGAAAATCGTTTCATCTATTGTCAATAATTCATTCAGTTGTAGTGTTTGTTCATCAACCCATTGTTCTTCACATTCGAATTCAATTAAATCATGGATGAGTGCATGTTCCGATTGTTCTTGTGACAATAATTGAATTCGCAAACATTTTAAACTTTGATCGAGCTAATAAAACAAACAAAAAAAACAATGTGGAAAATATATCATTGAAGCCATGAAATACATAATGTAATATATATGTGTGTGAGTATATTACACTGTAATAGGGAGTCGTATGCAAACCAAATATCTCAACGGTATAATCTACTACTGCGAGGTTGAGTTTATTTATTTTATTTATTTTTTTGAACACATAATTATTGGTACAAGGGGGCACCAGATATATATGTGCCACACAAAATAATGAGAATGCGAAGAGGAAAAGAATGTAAGGTGCGTATAATAGTAAATAATAAATAATAATAATAAATAATCATAATGGGGAAACAGAAAGGTACAACCAGAAGTATTCTTTCAGTTAAGGAAGTTACAACCACTTTTTGTGAAGAAGGTAAAAGAAAGGTTACAACAGGATCGCCACTGGCTTCTATTCTGAGCTATATCTGATAACGTCTCTAGCCACTATGTCGCATCATCTCTAGGACCCCAGCCAGAGAGTCGTGAAGGACCAACAGAAGCCAGCCCTTTGCAACTTTCTTTCATACCACGATATCATGTCATACACTGACCACCTTTCCGCTTTTTCCAACCAGTCCCAGAGTCGGCAAATAATGCACGACATGGAATTCTCTGGGACGACATTAGTACAACATATCCAAGCCGACGAAGTCGATGTTTCACGATGGTGACACCAATTGGATTATCATCTCTGCACCCGAACACACGATGTTGAACCTCTGCATTACTAACATGATGTTATCACTGAATGTCAGCAATCCTTCAGAGACAACGATGATCAAACAAACACAAATAAAATGAAATGACGACATCTACTGAAAATACTGAGATTGAGTGATACCACTTCAAATCCGACAAAACAATTATCAGTTGCTTTAAGATTATAGATTATTCTTTTTTAACTATCATAATACCTAAATCTATGATTTTATCCCAATCATATTTGACCATCTAACATCAATGCATCATATACACAATATTGAATTACTCATATGAATACACCTATTACAACTTCATTCGTAAGATTCATTTCATACTATAAAACTAAACAAACATAATACTAGTCACAACCAAAAGGATCAATCCAAACCACATGTTAACACTAATTATAATTGTTCAATGCTTCAAAGTTTCAAATACTAAACACAGTGAAAAATATACAGACATATAAACTCTAGTTATATATATATCATTGACCAATACAAATTTAGTTTCTATTCAATCTACTATTGTAGAAAATTTCAATTAACATAGAACTAATCTTAATGAATTGAAACATTGAAAAAAAAACATTCAAATTATTCTTCTTTGGTCAATTTAAAACAAACATATACATCAATAAAAGTATTTGAATTTTGGCGGGTTATTTAATTATTTAATTAATTTTTTTTGTGGAAAAAAAACACAATGGTATCTATCATGATAACGTTGATTTCTATACTCCTTTTCTAATTGATTCTTAATAAATAAACAATTAAATTAATGATAAGAATTTGTAATTAATTAATGAATTAATGAATTAATGGTAATTGGCTTAATACATATTTATATTGGTTGCAAATTTAAACAACATTGAAAATAATACACAATTATAGAAAACAGAATACAACACAGCACAGCACAGCACAGCACAGCACAACACAGCACAGTACAGCACAACACCATAAACAAACAAACAAATAAATAAATAAAGGGGAACAAGTATTGTGTTGTTTATTACTTTAATATAAAACAACGATAACAACATCAACAACAGTAATCATAACAATATAATAATAATAATAATAACAGTGTACGAAATGGTTGAGAGTCATTGTTCAATGTTATTGAAATGGATTTATAGAGGTTTATTATTCGTTATTTTAATCAATATCATTGTAATTCCAATATATGGTAAGTTTAAATAATAATTTTGTTGATTTATAATAATACTACTTATTTGTAATAGTAATATAGATGAGATTATAATTTATGGATGACATTTGAGCAACGCTAAAGTGACTTTGAGAGTGTCTACCTACTTCTCTGAGGCTAAATGGCGGTTATAAAGCAGTTTGAAGAATAAAGATTATGATTTATAGTTGATGGTTAGGGTTAGGAATTAGATTTATGACTTTTCATCACGAATTGATATCAGCTATAATACCCAAAATTCTATTTAGCTAAATGAATGAATGAATTTCGCGCCAAAATCCAAGATCTGTTAACCTAAATCTGATTGGTTCGTTCATAGATTATAGTCTTGTCGTAATATTTGATATTTGATATTTTTTGTACTTTGGATAATTACAAGGATAATATGATACAAAGAATAGAATATATTTATCATTATTATTAAGTTCCTCACGAGCTGACTGTAAGCCGTCTGAAGTGATAGGGATTAACTGTATTATTATTATTATCATCAGCTTTATTCAATATTATATTTTTGGTACAATATAAAATTCTCAGCACAAACTTTCCGTTTCTTTCTTCTTGGTCGGTCCTGGCGATAAATATTGAATGATCGCCAGTTAGATGTTAGCAGTTCAATAAATGAACATCTGAATAATGTGCATTCTTTTCGCTGTATATTGCCAGCAACCACATTGTGTCTTATTGAGTTTTTTGTAACTTTGACAACGAAAGGTTGTACACTTTTCAGAAACGCAGCAGAATAGGTTATGCGATTAATAAACATAATGATATATTAAAACAAACAAAAATAGATAACTTGTTGAAATATCTAGATGGCAGGAACAGGTAGCCCAGATGCTCAAGCAGGCCGCCATTCAGAAATAAGAGTTAGACAGTTGTTTCATCTTGGTATTGAAATTCTTAGGTGTGCACCTTCTCAACCCCACTAGGGATCAAACTTAGGACCTTAAGATCTTGAAGTGGAACTTTAAATTCCAGATCAGTGAGTTGAAATGCATTTCTGACTTCAATTAGTTTGAGATGTTTTACAACTGTCATCTAATTCTATTAGTAGGGAATCACCTCACACTTCACCGGTCACAGTCTCACACCAGAAATTCCGTAATTTCCTTTGTGAATCGGCCTAGTTACACTGAGTTAATAATGTAAATTACAAAAGTGATGAAAATGGAATAGATATTTAAAACTGTACAGTAAATCATAAGAAAACAGTAAAGTCACAACACAGTATATTAAACATAATAGTTACGAATGATGAGTATTTGTAAGTAGAAAATTAGGTATGTAAACTGAGACACAATTCATAGTACTCATAATGAAAATAAGCGACTTTACAACCAATCAACATAATTAGGATGAAATTAGTCTAGTGAATGAATATCAATAAATGTATAAAAAGGTTAAGCTTAAGTAACAATTAACATTATTTGATGAGAACTATTGTTACGATGGTAGAAAAAGATTTCTACGACTCATTTCTTCTGTATAAGTACATCAAAGGGATAAATTTTGATAGTAGCCTTTAAACTTAACTGGTTGAAAAAATAATGAATAATGCCCTTGCTCCATGATTTCTGAAACAATTAACGCTGTAATTATAATTGGAACCGTTTGTGGGGATTATTGAATGTTATTGGTATTAGAAACCAGTCTAAGTTAGGCTCATTGAAGATCAGAAAGTATTGAACAACTTTTCGTCCTAATATGGGACCCTCCTGGAGAGTGCCTAACTACAAAACCCGCTGGGGATCGAGTCTGAAACATTCAGGTCTTGCTGAGAGCTTTCAACGTTTAGAACTTGGAGCCTAATTCAAGTGATATATATGCTAAACTTTAACTAACTCATGATATTGACTAACCATCCTTCTCTACCTTCTGCAGGTGTCATAGATGGGCACTGTTGAGAAATCCCATACAAAGATATAACAGTCATTCAGGTTTTGTTGGTTCACACTGCTCGTCGAACTTAAATCAACTCATGATATTGATTAGATTGTAGCCGTTTTACTTCTAAATACCGACACATCTTTTCAGGCAATTAGTTTCACGATTCTATTCTACATAGACATAATCAATTTGGTTAGATGCATAATTTATACTTTAGTTTATTCGTTGGATGGTTTTATTTTTATTCTTATAATCAAACATAAACTCTTAAAACTATATTTCACGTACCGTTTATTTTTTGATTTCCAAACGGACTCTTTAAGGCGAATCGAGAAATGTAATCTTTATTGATAAAAGTTTTAAATAAATGGTAACGTAGATAGTTTTATTCATGAGCTTATCTATTGTTGTTCAACTGATTACAATTCATGCTTATTTTTTGTAGGTGTTATTGTGTACTCTAATCAATACAGTTTTATGATGGAGTTTTATTCTCTGAGCTGGATGGTTTGGTCGTGGAGCATTCATCATTCATTCTGAATGACATCATCAGCACAAACTTCGATCTGAAAGCTCTACGACCAAACCATCCAGCTCAGACAACAAAACTTCAACGAAATCATCCACCTAAGTTGCAAATCTTCTCCACCATCTCAACACAGATTTATCGTGAAATTCACATTACTTTCCTAGACAACATCACCAGTACATAATTATTTTTAAAATATTTAATACTGATTCATTATAATTTATGATTAAATCATTCATCTTGGAGAACTTCAGTGTTCTTTTTCTTCTAAAAGTTTGATAATTCAATTATTTTTCATATTTTGGGTTTATAATGACAACAATAGTAGTAGCAGTAGTATTACAATCAACTAGAACAAAGGTGGTGATAACTAAATGTTTTAATACAACATTACAGAATAACTTGATAAAATCTGAGAATCATACAGTAATACTTCATTTACGAAATATCCATCAAGTGTTTCAGACTTTGTTGTTCCTTCGTTTCCATACCAATTACTCTTTGTCCTCATTCTCCTCCACTCAATTTTCTCAACCTTCTCCCGCCAGGCATTTTACTTTCTATTGGTGACACATATTACTTATATTTGTCGACATCAGTAGCACACACCACATTATTGTATTTATTCTGAAAACGTTCATATAATGTTCAACAATGTGCAAATACAGTCTAGTCGAGGTAACATTTAAAAAATAAGACCACATTATTCAAACAACTGGAAAGCTTTGGCTGAAATGTTAGTAATTTGAAGCATAATATAAATGTTAAATCTGTCATCAAAATTGACATTTCGGAGTACAGGTTTATTGTCTAAAAGCACATCACATTTATCATGAATTTCGTGAAGAGCAGATATTATCATTATAAAGTAGTGTATAAATAATCAGATACATCAGGAACGTGATATAACTTCAACATTATCTTCATTTTAGGATAGTACATTTCATATGTTTGGTATAGAAGATACAATAAACAGGTGAAGTGAGCATTTAATTTATACAGCTTAATGTTTATTTAGTTTGAGATCATGAATCGATCAGTATTAGACCACTAATAGAAACCTGGAAGCATTGAACAGCCGGTTCGTTCTAGTATAGGACTGCTCAGCAGTGTGTATGCACGACCCCGCACGTGAGGTTCGAACCCAAGACCGTACGTCTCGCGCGCGAACGCTTGACCTCTAGAGGTAATATCCAACGGTATTAATGTCTAACTTCAAATAATCCGTGAAATTACGCGACAATATTCGATTATCTGAAGTAGATACCTATCTCTACCTGACATGGTGGTGGTCTAATTCTGCAAGCCCATTTTATTTCATCATGTTCTAATCTTATTAGGATTCTGTATGAAGTTCCTAAAGTCTTTGAATGCTTACATGATTAAGAAAAATTGGAACAAACAACTGGATTTTTGGTTTCGCTTGTTTCAACTGGTACTCTTATACAGGGTGTATCCATATATTGAGGGATTCAAATCCATTTTTTGAAGTATTACATAGAAATACATTATTGTAGACCTTTTGGGGCTGTGAACAACTTCCTGTTGACATTTACACGAATAAATAATCAATATCATATAATGAAGATCAAATTCTATCAGTTGGACTTTACTTTGTCTACTAGTCTAAGTGGGAGGAAACAAAGAAATTCAAACAGTATATAGACAACATTTAAACATTTTTCAAAATCAGCACTAAAAACTTGATAGCTGTTACTATGGTCACCATTCCATGTTTAATAAACACGATTAGTATTTGATAATTTACTGAAATCGACCATAACCCTGCTAAGGTTTATGAAAACTTAAATAATTTGAAAAAGAAATCTGACCAGTCACTATAATCAGTAGTATCTGCTTAGTAGAATCTATAATTCATAGATAAAGGTATTTCATCAAGCTTCTTTTATATTAAATGTAGTTCACAAAAAACACATTATTGTATAAAAAGACTAAAGGTTTCTAATTGGGTTAGGTTATACAAGCTTTTTTTTGTCGCACAATTTAGGTTCTAGTTATAATACTGTTGAGATTTGTATTTTCCTTTGCCTGAATAACTCTGATGTAAGTGTATCTCGTTCTGTTTGATGAAATAACGTTAGTTAGTTGTTTGTGATCTGAACTGATCATTCGACCATGATGACAATCGCAAAATATTGACATGATCAACATTGAAAAATAGGAACATAAGCTGACTGTGATTAGGTTAAAATTTGTGGATAATTGTAATTTTCATTTGTATAGAAAACATTTAACTGATACATTTCATTCGTGTTATTAATTAAAGATGAAATTAAAGATTCTAAAGCCAAACTAGCGGTTCCTCTTCATCAACTGTCTTAATACTAAACTAGGATAAATAACATTAAAGCACAAAAGATTAAGCTTAAATGAATCGGTAAAATGGTGTGTATAGCTCAATAAGAATCCTTCCGACTATTGACAGGAACGAAGTATGTGTGCTTCTCGTGGGTAGTATGAGTCTTTTGCAGCTACAAATAAAACTTATTGTTTATTATGAACAGAGATTCGGTATAGAGCTTACAAAAATTCTCATTCATCATTCATCGTCTAATGAATCTGTAACATGTTGAGGGTACTTTTTCAATCCAAAATATTTGCTCGAACTGTTTTTATGCAAAGCCACAAGTACAACATCGGGAAAATAACTAAAAAAATTCATATTGTCATTACTCAGTAATTAATCAATAACAGATTTTTTGGACCTGCTTGAGGTCATTTTCATCTCAAGTAAATCAATGACAATTTATTAGAATTCGAGTGTGCTTAGAATCCACAATGGAGTATCAGTCCCGTGGCTAGTGGGTACCAACTAGCGGGAAACGTATGTCTAAGGTTTTCTGTCGATTACCTTTAAACAACTAACACCTCAAAAATGAGTCCATAAAACGATATCTTAATATATACTATAACACCGTTGGATACCGGCTCAGTGATCTAGAAGATAAGCATTCACGCGCGAGACCGAAGGTCTCGGATTCGAGTCCTGCTTACGGGATCGTGGATGTGCACTGCTGAACAGTTCCATACTGGAACGGAACGACCGTTCAGTGCTTCCACGTCTATCATTGATTGATTTATAATCTCATTCAATAAATATTATAGTTGTGTTTCGTTCATTTCAAAAAAAAATTTTTATATGCTTATTTTAACGTAAACCAACTGTCATATAGAATTCATGTTCATACAAATCAGTTCTGTATACTCTTGGATTGATATAAAGTGAAATTACAGAAATGAACATGGACATGTAAATTTATTGTTTATTTTTCGAAAAATGTCATATTAGCAAAATCGTTCAATGAAAACATTAACGCGAATTTACTTGTTAATGCCATTTCTAAATAAGAAAGAAATTAGATGGCATTTAATATTTTCATACAATATGCTAGTGAAGTTTGTTCTGTCTTCCATTCCCCTCCCCCAGAGGAACATTAGTATTATGTAATCTAATTGTTAAACATGCTGCGAAACTACAGTATATTTAAAAGACACTTTTCACTATGAACAGAAATTAGCGTAATTGTTTCAATGAATTTGTACCTGAAGTGAATGCTTTTGATAGTGTTGCCAATTGGGCATCTTTTAGTTCATAAGACAATCGATCACTGTTTAGTCAAATATAGTATTGTTTGGTGTAAGATGTTTTGAGCTTCCCTTTTATTAATATAGACAAGTGACTTAAATCAATCTCTGTCAGGATATGAGACCCTTTAGCAGACGATTCAACATAACATGTGCTTTCAAGTTACTACTAATTCAATATGTTAATGGATAAGGGGTTCTTTTTTGAATTAATGAGTACTGAGTTTGGATCTCATTGTGTACGTGAACATTGAGACGCAGATGAAAGAGACAAACGAATCTTAAACAGAACAGAGCGCAATAATTAGATCCTAGTGTTAGCCGCAGTCCAAAAACATAGTTTAACCATTTATTAGGATTCCGTGAAGAGGATTTTGTGGATATTTACTATTTTTTTATGTGACACAATAGGAATTTAGGATTTGGATAGTTATAGTTGTTCTGAAGCATATCCCAGTATTGATTTATGTATTACAGACTTTTATACAATAATTAAAAAACGTAACTTCCATATTTCCTTCGGCTTGCCTAACACAATAACCTATGGTATATAATTAGTTAATCTAACTAGGTAGATTGTAACTACTCAGGGTTTATAGTAAAATTAGTTGTCCTACAAAGCTAAGTGATCTTATCGCAGCTTAGATTGAAAATTCTCACAACACATTGATTCCTTAAATAATTTTAAACTTGTGGCCTGATGCACTTACTGCTCTACTGACTGCTAACAATTAACAAACAGTTGCATGGAACAAGTCTTTGCTTAAGAGGTTATATCTAGTGAATACATAGTACTTATTACTAATGTGCACTGATAGGTAGTCAGACAGTAAACATGTAGGCGGACACTTTAACCAGATAAATCATCAACTTACTCATCATAGGTTTCCACCCACGCTAACAACTGGTTTACCATGAATATTTTGTCACCAATATGAATTACAATAATAAATCATACAGTTTAAAAGTTCTACTGATTTTGAAAAAAATATTGCCTTAATAGTAAGGGGAAATTTTAAATCTCATCTTGAAAGAATTTAAAAATGTGTTTAACCTAAACACTACTGGTGTGGTGTCAGCTACTTATATCCACATAAGTAGAATATAACGATAGTCAGGAATAGAATGTATTCCAGTAGAAGATCGAGAAGGAAACAACGGGAATAGAAAGCAGTCGATATGGAAATGCACAAACAGTGAAAACTGAGACAATGGATTGAGATTTTTAAAAGGAACAGTCAAGTTTGAGACACTATATGGTTCTCAGATTTTAGTGAGATATTTTGTAATTTCATGCTCAAATACATTCGGTTAATCCCCATTCATGTTCTTGTTCACTACACTAGGAGTAAAGTCCAGTTGACTTTTTAATGTATGATATAATCATAAACGTTTCTGCCATGTATTTCTTCTATTAATGGTATTAACCAAAATTTAAATCGTAGCTTAGTTTTATTATATATGTGTTCAAAGATATATTATGGCACTTTTTTTCCTGTATATACAATCACTTTTTTCTCTCTTATTTAACAGGTGGAATTTTATCATTTTGTTCAGAACCTGAAACAGTATGTACAGTATTTCGTCCATGCTGTGGAAGAGATTGGGTATGTAATCGTAAAAGTTCTGCCACTGGCAAATGTGTTCAATGTGCACATGCTAATAGTCCATGTATTCATGCAAATGATTGTTGTCGAGGTGCATGTATAAAAGGTTCATGCAAATTGATGAGTTTCTTTGGTGAGGAGTGAAAAAAAACCCAGTTGATTACAGAGATTAGATTTATTTCTTCAAAATATCATATTTATGGAATAATAATAATAATGAAAATACATTTCTATATACATAGTACTTTGTTTTACTTTATCAATCTTCAGTAAAATGATTTGATGATATAAACTATTCTAAAATTCAATTGTATCCAACTAGAATTCATTATCACTTACAATATTTAATCGTGAACAGTCAGTTTGATATAATTTAACCAGAATATTAAATCAGTCATTTCATTACAGTGATACCGTTTTTTCAGGTAGTGCTTTCTAGGATAACAACGTTCAACATTCAAAATTTAGAAACATGTAAGAAATGTAACCATTGAAAGTTTAATATATTCTTTACTAATATTATCTAATTCGATGTGATTTGGTTCTTATTTTAAATTGACTTATTAAATAGTTATTGTTTATACCTAAATTTATTGTCATTCTGTTGAAAATATAATGATCAGTATAGGGTTGTGGAGATTATTAGGTTTTTGATTGAGATCATGAACCGATTGATGTCAGACCATTGATAACCTGGAAGTACTGGATGACCGTTTTGTCCTATTGTGAGGCCCCACAGCAGTGTGCATACACGATCTCGCTCACAGGATTGGAAACGGTCGTACAGTGCTCCCAGGTTTTCAATGGTGGTCTAACATCAATCGGTTAATGATCTCAATCGAAAATATAGTTATTGTTTAATTAGGTAACATTGTAAATCATACAAATCTAGTTTGATTTTTCAGCTGTAAATCCAACTATATGATACACCATTACAAGGAACCCTATTTTATGTTTACGAAACAGAACCTCATCTAGTTAAATATACTCGATAATACTCTATGATCGCCCCCAAACGCCCTGGTAAACCCGAGGGTGGGGAGAGTCAGTCCTTCCTCTTGAAATGCCCTCACATGGCCACGTGCATACAACTACTGCCAGGGAAGTCCTACTCACTGCCTTCTCGCAGCATTACTGTTGTTTATGAAATTGGCAAGATGAAAAGCGAATGTCTGGCGCTTGAGCCGGGTTGGCGGTGAGTACGGAGGATCCACCTAGGGGATTTGAAAAGCCCTGGTGCACATGGCCTCTAGAATTCTGAGGGAACAAATGGCCTATGAACCAATCGTTGTTCACAGGCTACCATGGGACTGCATCTCCTTACGTTGCTCCACTGCCTTGTGGATCAGACCTTTAGGTCGAAGGCTTCGGGTGTTGCCCTCCGAAGAAAACCACCTGCTTCGGTTTAAGCACCTGGACAGTATCCCAGCCCTCACACAAATTGAATGATTTATGCAGCGTATATCTATTTGGTACCTCCTTGTACTAATGTTTATGTGTTTAAATAAATAAAATAAGTGAACTGTATATGATTGTTGTTAGTTCTAAAATGTTGCAATCAGTCAGTGGCAATATCATATAAGTGATGCTTAACTTTAACAGGGATTATTTGACACGAAATTATGATGATTTTAATTGATGTTTTCTGCAACAAAAAACAAACAAATAGAATTTATATACCAGAAGGCGGTTTTGTGGAGACTTTAGTGATTTCAATAGTTGAAATCATGAGTCAAGTGAAGCTAGATCACCATGGAAAACTTGGAAGCACTGGATGGCCACTTCGTCCTATTATGGGAAACCTCAACAGTGTGCATCTACGATCCTGCCTCCGGTGAGATTCGAGCCCAGGACCTATCAGTCTCGCGCGTAACCATTAGACCACTGTAGTCATCAATTGCTTCCAAGTTTTCCATGGTGATGTAGCTTTAATTGACCCATGATTTCAACTGTTAAAATTTATCTACGTTTATCAAGTAAAAGAAATTCACACTATTGGAAAAGTGAATTCAATAAAAAAAACACAACAATAAACACTAAAGCAAATTTTTATTTTGAAGCGATAAATTTAACAAAACAAAAATAAATTGTAAAAATTAATTAGTTATTCTTTAGAAACTAATTTAGTCATAAACACAACAGTATTTAATTGATCTGAGAAAATCTCACTTACCTACATTTAATAAAATAAACCTTAATGGAATGATATGGAAAACATTTTTTTTTAAAAAGAAACGAATGTGAACACTTACTTACGTAAGCGTTTTTTTAGCGAGTTAGTTTTCTACGGGATGGGGACGCTAACCCCATGCCCAACCCTCCTCCTTTACCCGGGCTTGGGACCGGCAGCAACCCTATAAGAGCTACAGGCGGAATGTGAACACTAGTAAAAAAAATTTCCTCAAACTGTTGAACCGTTAATAATTTGCTAGCAAATTGCTAAGTAACAAATTTTTAACCATTCAAAACTTCCAAAACATCAAATCATGAGAAGGAACATGAAAACGATTAAAAATTAAAAAAAAAATTGATCTTAGCTTATTAGATCAGAATAATCGATATAAACAAACCGGGGTAAACATGAAGAACTATGATAAAATTGTTTATGCAAAAATTAGAAAAAAACAACAAACAAACAAACAAAACAGAATGCTGAATAATAATTAAGCAATAAAGATGTTATGTAATCCATTTATGAAAATTTTTTTTTTAAAAAAATGCAAAACAAAAAAAAAAGATTGTTTGTTCACAGGGATGGATTAGTGAGTTCGAATTCAATTTACAGATGATCATTTGTTTATCTTCTTATTAGTACTTGTCCGTATAGTGGTAGCCCTGTTGAAGATGGTAGTTTTCGCTTTGTTAAAGAAATATAGAAAAAAAAACACAGTACTTTAGAAATATGTAATTTTAACTAGTAGGGAAGATCACAAATATATTTGGTATTAAAGATAATTAAATGCAGATTCATACCAACTCTACTGTATTGATTATGAAGTGATAATTGAGCCGTACAATTTAATGTATGAATGAATCAAAACAGTTGAAGTTTAATTCATTTGGTGTTGTTTACTTGTATCTTCCGATTGTTATTTAGGACGAAACGCTTGTCCTGGATTCCGCTGCTAAACACTATCCATCTTTTCTTATAAAGCTTGTGACATCAGGTGATATCATGGCAGTCTGAACAGGATGCACATATGTCAAAAAGAGACCGATCAATCGCAGTCCTAAATAACAATGAGAAGATACAAGTACACAACACCAATTGAATATAACTTCACCTCAATGCACAAGCAAGTGGCTATCAAGACTCAGTAGCTAAGTGGATAGCGCGATGGTATTTGAAGCGAACGGTAGTGGGTTAGAGTCCTGAAGTGAACATCGACTGTGAGATGCAGTTGCATCCAGCTGACGAGTCCCAGATAGGGCGAAACGCGCGTCGAACTGCATTCCACTGCTAGCCACTATCCATTTTTGCTTATAAAGTTAAAGATAATTGACGAGAAACCTAGAAGAGCATTAAAACTTTACTGGCTATTTGTTGACATTTCAGCTCGAGATTTATAATTACTGAAAAATTTATTAAATATGTTACATAAGTATAGGAGGATGACTAGTTTCTTGAATAAATTGTCAGTTTAATCATTGAATTGATTCCCGATAAGCTTATCAAATCAAGTGAACTATTATAAAATTGGTACGAAAAAGTACATGAGATGAGTCTTTGAATCTGCAGTGAGCTTATGCCAAAGTTCAACTCTCAAATAAGTAAGAGATAAACTTTACCATTCAGTAACATTGAGACCACAGTCTTCGTTCTGAGATAATACTGTCTCCTACTCTGGAAAGTTAAACTATCTTTTGATTTCAAATGAATATGACAGCTTAACATTGTCCATCAGAGTTGAAAAAATCATTCGATTTTTTACAGTAGCCTTATTGGGTCCTATAAAGTACGTCGGTATTACATTATTACACTGAATTCTCCTCAACAAACTGAGCCTATTCTACAATCTGTCAACCCATTACAGTCTCAGACATCAAAAACTGTTCTAATGAAATGATTCACATAAACAGCTTGAACGTTTTGGTTCTTAGACTGCTTCATGTACCTTCTATAGTGAAGGTTTAGTCTACCATGCCGAAATGCAATTAATAATGTATTAATGTCACGATTTCGACATTTCTGTTTATACTATCATAAGGTTACATTTTGTTTATGAATGATGACTCTACGCTTGTTAAAATTATATCTGTTGTGTTGTATATATAGTTGATAATATTTTACTGTAAAATGATATCATTTATGTTTACACATCCTGCACACATTTCATATCTCCTATGACTAACAACTTTGTCCGAACTGCTCAATTTAATGAAATTTAGAAACCGAATGTTTTAGGAAAGCGAACGCTTTCCTTTATCATTGTTAATATCTATCGATTTGATTATTCCTGAAAACTGACATGTATTCTGTACTCATTTTCCAAATATATCATTATTATTATCATTGTGTAGCTACTGGTACTCAACCGGTCTATATATATGTTGGGTGCCTTGAGGATTTCCTCAGAAATGTCTTCAGGAGCTAGAAATCAAGGAAAATACTCTGAACAATTAATGTAAAATAGAAACTTCCCAGAGCAATTATGGATTATAAGTAATATACGGATTAAACAGCTACAAATTTGGTTACTAATTTTAGAATGATTACAAAATTTCCTGTTCAAGGTTTAAGTGTAATAAATTTATGAAGAATCAGGCAGCTAACAAGTCAGTATCAACCATTCACATATCAGATATATTAATCCTCATATAAAATACTTACTTGGAATAGTTTGTTTTAGTAATGAAGAGTTGTTATGGATTGATGCTTCATTCTCATATGATGAATTCAGTGATTTCATGTCACAGTCCTTATTTGTTAAAGGAGTTGATACAAATGATCTTTGTTCTTTAGAGTTCATATTGTTTAGTGTAGTAAGACGTGATTTATTAATTGGAGTTACATTAATTAATCCTAAATTACTTTCACGTTTTGATGTGGAATTTGTATTCATCAGATTAGGCTTTATAGGTGTACTACCAAAATGACTTGTTTTATGGGTAACTATAATATAAAATATTAAATTATTCACATCATTATAACATGAAAAGTTTACATGAAATAAATCCTTATTTTATTTGATTGAATAATCAAAAAGATTCGATAAAACACTTAGTGATTTAAGTTTGGGAAGATAATAATCATACGAAAATTGCCAGTGTACATGTAATGTCAGTCACTATGTTAAGCCCAAATAATTGATTCTAACTTATGGACAGGTCAGTTTATATTCATTCTTCTTGAGTCATGTCTTGACCTTGTTAATTATTCACTTATCAACGCTGACTGTTCTTATATGAGCGTATGTGTGTGTACACTTCTTATCCTACTCATTACATGTCTGTAGCTTATTTTTATCTGGCTATAAATATTGACTAACGCTTGATTAATTGAAGTTGGCTCACATGCCTTCTCCATTGCGTGACATTTCACTTCGCTCTCTTCTATTCGCTTCATCCTCCTGAATTTCTGTTCAGATCAATGATTTTACAAAATATACATTTCGAAATGCTTCCTTGTATTTGACTTATTTTAATTCCGTTATTCACTAACGCGGATTAAGTAGATAATAATATATGAGGATTGACGACATTGTATATCTCAATTACTGGAGTCAGATCTCGGGCCATTAAAAACATTTCAGGAGTTTTCAGAAGAGATGATTAAACTGTAGGAGTTTAGCCAGGTTTCGTGTTATAATACTTGTGTAACTACATTCATTTTAAAATATTCTTACAATATTTTCAGGTATTTAGCCGAACTATTCTAATAAAAATTGGCTGCGAAAAAGAGAATTCACTAATGGACACTTGTGAAATACTGTAAAATTCACAATATCGTCGAAACTAACAATCTTGTTTACAAAAACATAAAATAATCCTACCTTTTGGGGTTTGGATTTTAGTTAGACAATCATTTGTCTCCACGAATCATTAGATTGTTATTTAGTAATAGTATGGGACTAATCAATAGCACATACCCACAATCCAACACCAGAGATTGAATGAAGGACCTTTGGATATCATACACATACACAGAGAGAGACTTACTATTAGATCAGTAAGGTGACAATCAACGATTCACATCACTTACGTTAGTCAATTCACAAAATAACCCAACGATCAGGAAGGTGGAAAGGATAGATATCCATTGATTTATCAATTATAAGACATTACAGATTCAGGCTTATAATTTTGTCTACATCTAGTTTACCCGAATAGAATGAATGAAAAAATGTTTAAATCAGACTATTATTATTATTATTGGCATATAACATGCATAAACAATGAATAAGTATTGTTTATTTTAAGTTTATGACTCAATCCATTATGATTCATATTTGTACTACACATAACGAATATTTTTTGTCAGTTTAATTTATGCTATGCCAAATATACTTTGTTTAAAAATGTATGTAGTTTATACAGCATACAGTTGTGTATATTTTTCTCCTGCAAAAACATCTCCAATACATAGATTTATAGACTTTAAATAATGTGCCATCCTATTACGTCCAACCCCCTACCATCACTAGTAGGTAATAATGAAACAGTCGATATTTGGAAGTATAATTTACATTTAATCGTTCAGTGAATAATGACTAGTGAGATGTCTATTTGTTCCTTTAGTGCTGGCCGAGTTCTATCGGCTAGTTTACTTTCAAATGCCTTGATATAGCCGAGAGTGGGAAAATTTCCGTCACCCTTTCGAAATGCTATTGTGTGGCCACGCGCATATAGCTAATCCTAGGGGAGCTCTACTCACTGTCTTTTTGCAAAAAGGGTGGCGTTTACGAAACTGAGAGGAGCGCAAGCGAATACGTGGCGGTTAAGCCGGGTTTGTGAATACGAAGCTGGAAAACCCTGGTTCCAAACCAATGGTGCACATGAGCTCCAGGATCCTGAGGGAAAAATAGAGTACAAACTTAGTCTTGGTCACCAATTACCATAAGACCGCACTTTTTAATATTGCTCCACTGCCTTGTGGATTTGACCATTAGACCAAAGGCTCGGCGAGCGGCCACCTAAGAAAATCACCTGTTTAGGTCTGGGTACCAGGACAGTATCCAATTCCACACACAAATTTAATGAAAACTTGTGTGGCGCGTGTGTATTTTGGTGCTACTCTGTATTAATGTAAGTGTTTAAATAAATAAATAGATCAGGTTACAATGTTACCACTAATCTAAGTGACTCAACATCAAATACACTGTATGTTGAAATATTAGGTTATTGGATGTAATCAACTACAAGGAGATTTCTTAAAATACAGAAAAAGCACGTCTAGTTGTGTTAATTTCATTGAACTGCAAAGCTTCTGTTGTTGTTCTGGATATAAATCATCAGAGTTAAATTGAAATAAAAGTAAAGATTTTAATGGAAGCTTTACAAATAAACTGAGTATCTCAGGGTAATTTAACAGTGTTAAAAGTACTAATTCGAGATACAAATTTAGTTCATCATTCCAAAACAACAAAAGGAAACATATAGAGAAAGGAAACATGTGCTTTTGAATAGTATCTACGTATAAAGCACTACTCTTTAAATTTCAACAATGAATCGAAATAATTTATTTATGTAATTAGCACCACTTCGTTATTATTTTCTTTTATGAACAATAAAGATGAATTAGACAATATAATCTGTGAATGATTTTCTTCATCTATCAATAAACATGTACCTGAGAAAGTGATGTGATGGTATAGTTTACTAAAAATGCTCATTACAAATGATTAATGAAAGCATACTATAGCACTGGAGCGGTTTAACAATGCATTATTAATTGATAGACTATAAAACTTAAACATCAAATTAGAAAACATTAGAATTTTTTCCTCGTCAACCAAAGTGTTTCGAATAGCACTCACTACCTAACTCTGTAAGTGTTGAAATGGTCTAAGAACAATTGATAAAGCGAATTAAATGGTGAGTTGCAACTGACTGCATTCATTTCAAGAGTATAAGAACCTAATAAAGTAGTATGTGAGAATGGGGGTTTGTGGAGATTGTAGTAATTTTAAAAGTTGAATTTATGAGTCAATCTGAGCTAGAGCACCATTCAAAACGTGGAAGCACTGGACAGTTGTTTCGTTCTAGTGTGAGACTCATCAGCAGTGTGCATCCACGATCCTGTGTATTAGGAAAGTGTAGTATAATTTACTATTTCAATTCAACCATATTGTTTACTCTAATTTCATTGAAAACTATCTAATCTCAAAATGATGATTGAATTCATTTCTATGGCACCATAATCAAACATCAGTGCGAAGGTTATGAAAATCGTTAGATTTTTTATTGAGATCATCAATCAACCAATGTTAGACCACCATTGAGAATCTGGAAGCACTGAACGGCGGTTTTGTCCTAGTATGGGACATCTCTGGATACTGCTGGATGCCAGCTCAGTGGTCTACAGGTTAAGCGTTCATGCGCGAGGCTGAAGGTCATGGGTTCGAGTCACGCATGCGGGATCGTGAATGCGCACTGCTGAGGAGTCTCTCACTAGGACGAAACGGCTGTCCATTGCTTCCAGGTTTGCAATGGTGGTCTAGCTTAGATCGACTCAAGAGTTCAACTATTAAAATAGTATTTGATTAGAGAAAAATCGTAATCTAGCTGATCGTCAATTGTCAAAATTCAATGATACTGGTAGCTCAAAAGTTATAAATCGAGTCCTGTCATGATCCAGTTGTTTTCATCAGCTTCGATCACAAACTCTGTAATTTCATATGAACATGAATACCCATTATACTGAGTGGTGGAGTAGGTAATACTTGATAAAATATACAGAATCACCAAACTAGTAGCTTACTTCTGCATGGATCACGTGAATCCAAGAATTCATTTAAGCTCATCCATCCACCTCCTACTCGCACAATCGTTGTACTATTCAAGAAGCGAACCAAGTAAACTCGTGAACTGGATCCAAACTTTAAAACAAGCCAAAAAAAACTATATAAGCAAATTACCTCTTGCTTTTTCACACCGAAAACAGTTACATGGAACACATATGTTAAATAAAATAAAGTAGAAATTAATTAAAGAGTAGGCCTTTTTATTTAGTATAGAGCGTACTGAACTTGGTATTTTTACATTATAAACTACACTTAGTTAAAAAAAACTATCACAAACCAAGAAGTAATAAATAGATCTTTGGTCTAAGTATTCATCTGTTCATCAGTGTGTATTCACAATCCTACTGAGAATCGGACCCAGATCGTCATATAATTGCATGCAGTTTTAGGAAGCATCACTATTTTCGTAACCTATTTTATAGATCACATGTAAGAAAATAAACTAATGAAAACGTGTCATTGGTGTTGTAGTCAAGAGTATAACATAATTAAATTAACTTAACTTACACAATATCGATCCTTTCCAATTTTTCTCGGTTGAAATTTTGGTTGACAAACACATTTACTAGTTTCTTGTTCTATTGCATGTTCAATTAATTTATCAGTTGGTAGAGGTTTATGCTGAAAAATGTAATTTGGATTTGATAAAAAAGCAACTACTTCTTTCTGTATCAATAAATAGATTGTAAGTTTTGAAAAATATATAAAAAAGATTTATTCTAGAACAGTGATTAACGGATACTCTGTCTTTTCAATTAAATTGTTTTTAGATTACGTAAAGATGGATAGTGGCTAGCAGTGGAATGCAGTTTGACACGAGTTTCGCCCTATTTGGGACTCGTCATCTAGATGCACTTGCATCTCACAGTTGGTGTTCACTTCAGGACTCGAACCCAGTACCGTTCACTTCAAATAACATCGCGTTATTCACTTAGCTACTGAGTTCTGATAGCCACTTGCTTGTGCAATGAGGTGAAGTTATATTCAATTGGTGTTGTGTACTTGTATCTTCTCATTGTTATTTAGGACTGCAATTGATCAGTCTCATGTTGGCATAAGTGCATCAATTGCAGTACTAAATAACAATGGGAAGATACAAGTAAAACAACACCAAGCGATGTGTCCACAATTTATTAAATGCTCATGTATAGAACTAGTAATTGTTTTACATTCACCTTATAAAAGCCAAGCCGGATAGTGTTCTGAGTTGCGTTTGGAAAGTGATCGCTTTGTGCGGCCTACGTAACAATTATTCCTTATTTATATACAATGACTTTAAAATAATCAAAGAAATCCACTGATTCATTAAGAAAAAAACAAAGGAAAAAAGTTTCTTTTCAACGATACTATTTTCCCACGATGTACAATTGCATTTATAGGTAATTTTTTACATCTAGTAGTTTATAATAAAATAGAGGAGTGTTATACAATTTTAATAGTTGAGATCATAGGTCATTTGAAGCTAGACCACCATGGGAAACCTGGAAGCACTGGATGGCCGTCTCGTCCTATTGTGGGACTCCTCAGAAGTGCATATCCACCGTTTGCTTCAAACGCCATCGCGTCATCCACTTACCCACTGAATCCTGATAGCCACTTGCTTATGCGATGGGGTGAAGTTTAAATTCACTTGGTATTGTTTGTTTGAATTTAGGCTATATCGAGGCAATATGCACAGTATGCACATATGCCAATAAGAGACTGATCAATTGCAGTCCTAAACATCAAACAAACAATACCGAGTGATTGTTTTTAGACTAGTTTTAGAGTTGACAACATTGTATCAACTCATAATTATGTACATACTAGACAGATGATAAAGTATTTGTATCTCATATTTACATAGATACATTGTGAAACAAGTTTGCCCAGGACAGGGTTGGATGGCGAATGCTGGTGAGCGGCCTATGTTCCTTCAAGAGGAGTAACAGGCGTAAGTAAGTAATTGTGAAACAAATGAGAATAAAAAGATAATATTAACTACTAATACAGTTGATAATGAATATCCAATTAGATTTCAATAATAAAGATAAATTTGATTACATCCTAAACAAAATTTGAACGGAAACCGTTTATATTTAGAATATTAAGCATTAAAGAACGGAAAGCATTTTTAGCTAGTTGGTCTTGGGAGATCAGGTGACTGTTTTACTTAAATTGATTAATTAATGAATGTTGCGCATGTCTTCAATCAGATTTTCAAATGTAGTTTAAAGTTACTCAAGAAATACCAGTTTATCCATTTAGTAGATCTGAAAAACTTTTACTTTCATTAAAGTATTTCACTGAATATGTTAAAACTATTTGCAAATTGTAGGTTGGTTAAAAATGAGAACATCAAAGGAACAATTATTGATTATGCAAATATAACAGAATAGGATTTATTTTACAAAGTTTATCGGCATTTTATAGAATACTGTTTGTCTTTATAAACAAATCTGACAAACGTATGTGTTAATGAAACCATAATAAAGATGCCTCATAAATATGTAATCAAAATCATATTGATATACAATTTTACAAGGTATATGTGTACGAAATGTTTAAAGCAAACTATTTTGAGTAAGAGCACTTATGATGAAAAACTTATTTCACTAGATAAAACATTAAGAATTGTTATGGATGCTGAGGAATAATGTGCCAATCATTATCATGTTAAGTCTAATGATGTCCTTGGACGTTATCGATCGATAAATACGCTGCTCCATTTAACCTGCAATTCACCCGTTACAACTAGAATAGTAACTAATTTACTGTTGTTATTTTTTTTATGAGTGTATTGAATTGTTTACTGTTGTATTATGGCCATTTACACTTACCATTGTGTACTATATTCTGTCGTTAAAATATAGTCTATTCCTTAAATAATACAAAGTCTCTTGTAACAATCTGTACTTCTTTTTTCTTAACATTTATGTGTCCTTTGAAGAGTTATTTTTGTGAATGATTGATTACATCTAGTTCCTGAGATGGTGGAGAAAATTTGTAGCTCAGGTGGATGATTTTGGTGGAGTTTTGTTCTCTGAGCTGGATGGTTTGGTCGTGGAGCTTTCATCGTTCTGAACGACATCATCAGCACAAACTTCAGATAGAAGTTCCTAATTGTTGAACTAACCATCTATATTGAGCATTCAATTGAATAGTTCGTTTCATACATTTATGAGTCATAATTTTGATATGAAAACACGAATAATTTGAATTGCTTCTTTTAAGCCGAAGAAATAAAAAAATATATAATTACCTGTTTTTTCGGACTTAATGCTTCAATAATCTGATGACATGTAACTATGCCCTTTTTTGCTTGGTCAATTGTATAAAATGCAGACTTGATGAAAATAGGATTTGCCCAATCATGTGTTGGTCTACCATGTAGAATTGCTTGTATAAATTGTGAACAGTTTACTTCATCTGGCTTATGACTGACATTTTGTTTATGTTTGTTATCAGAGAGCGGTTGCAATGATTCACGACTCGATCGGATGAGAGATGAACGACTGTTAGATAACTGGGGTTTGATATTATTAGACGAAGTATAAACTGACTGAGAATTCGTAGATACATTAGATAATCGTGTTGGACGTTTGAATAAATCAGAATTCACTTCATCTGTATTGGTGGATATGTTTGATAGCTGTCTGTCAGTTCGTAATGCCGATAAGGCTTTAGGGTTAAATATGTCGCTTAGTCGATAATGACGATTTGCAATCCACTGTAAGTACCCCTGCTTCCACAGATCGAAATTGAAATGAACTAAAAGATTGTGCTGCAAAAGTTGTAAGGAAGGCAAACATGACTGAAATCAGGGACTATGTAATTAAAGAAACATTGGTGTTTTAAAAATAATTATACATATGATAATTAATGATTCTAAGCATAATATCGAAAGGCTACACAGATAGTAAAGTGGCAAGCACAAGTTACATCTTACGCTTAACCATACTCTATGTTTAAAAAACTGATTGAGGATTTCTCTTTTCCATGCTGTTGTTCATTTGTATTAGTTTTTAGAGTGTTAATCTCCTAGGTCGATATGATGTTCTAGTTGGTCTGAATAATTGACTCGCTAATAGCAGGCCGGTTTTTGTTCTTGTCAAGGATGTATTGATCGTATCTTCACCCTCTGTCAAATGTTGCAACATAGCCATACTTATTATTGCAGGTCAACGATCATTGTGATTCATGACATCAGGGCCTCCTTCGATTTGTTGGACAGGACTGTAGATATCGAGATTTTCTACTGAAGAAGTTTAATAATATCTTGAAGGTTCTACATACAAATACCTCAGGCAGAGTAAGGGCATACAACTAGCTCTCCCCATTGTTTCATTCAAGCAGTGGAGTTAGGCAGGGTTACCCAATCTCACTATTCATTTTCAACCTTGCCATTGAGACGATTCGTAAACAACTCTGATCGATGTAGGTAATGATGGTCTAGATCCGATACCTGGAAAAAGACTTTCTAAATTTGAGTATGTGGATGAGACTGTCTTATTGTCCATGATACTCAAGCCATGCAATCCGCATTTAATCAGTTAGCAATCAGCGTCCGTGAGTATGGCATGTACTTTGAACCTTCTAAATGCAAAGTACTTTTAAAAGACTGATAGCAACCTACTTCTTCATTCGCTCTTAATGGTGAACTGTCAGAAGTAGCCTAAAAGTTCGTGCATCTGCGTAGTTCCGTGAGTGATGAGATTAATGTACGTATATAGGACAGACAGGGTAGTTTATGCTAATCTGGGTTTTACAACGTATTAATGATAGTAGTTGTAATCTATGCTGACGAAAAATAGTCCCTCCAAATTGAAGGTGTTGGACAACCCTTTGTGTTTGGTCATTGTTGTTTCCGAAGGATTGGTGACATTCTATCGCAAGACCATGTTAGTAATGCGGAAGTTTGGAAACAAGTTCGGTCACAGTGATGTTAATTAGTGTCACCGAATTCGATGACCTGAACTTGTACTACGAATGTAGTCCCACCTGGTTAGAAGACATAGAGAGGTGGTCAAAGGATGACGTGGGGCTATTGTATGAAAGGAAGTTGTGTGTCCTTTTGTACAAATATTTTGTTTAAATAAATAAACAATATAATTACTCAATTATTTTATTTTGAAAGATTTTGCAAGTATGTCATTCAAAACGACTAATACAACGATATCGTGTCCTATGTAATACTTAAGATAGTAGTTTCTGACAACTGTGTGTTATAGGAATTGTATGTTGGACAATATCGATGAGTTGAGAAACTGAAACAAAACTATATTTTAAGACCTTAATTTTAATGATTCGCTTCAACTGGCGGACACCAATTACTAATGTAAATATTAATTGCATAAATATCTTTCATATAAGTTAATTTGTGAAAACGAAAATGAACAACTGCGTAGTACGACTAGGTAAAGGTGTTACTGAGTCTATAAGTAATGTCATTCTTCTCCATCAAATTAACGACTTACATACTTAATTGAACCTGTTATTCCCAATAGAGCACGGGCCGCCGACCAGCATTCTCCAACCCACTCTGTCCTGGGCCTTCATTTCTAGTTCTGTTCAATTGTTGTTCATTCTTCTCATGTCGGTTTCCATTTCTTGGCGTCATGTGTTCTTTCGTCTTCCTCTTCTCTTTTGACCTTGAGGATCCCACGTGAGGGCTTGCCTTGTGACACAGTTAGGTGCTTTCCTCAATATGTGTCCTATCCACTTCCAGCGCTTCTTCCTGATTTCTTCCTCCGCTGGGATCTGGTTTGTTCTCTCCCACAGAAGTTGTTGCTAATAGTGTCTGGCCAACGGATTCGAATTATTTTGCGTAGACAACTGTTAATAAACGCTTGCATCTTCTCGATGGTAGCTTTCATAGTGTTGTCCTGTCCACTCTATCAAATGCTTTCTCATAGTCAATGAAGTTGATATAAAGTGATGAATTATATTCCATTGATTGTTCCACAATGATCCGTAGTGTCGCGATTCGGTCTCTACACGATCGATCCTTACGGAATTCAGCCTGTTGGTCTCGAAGTTGGGCGTCTACAGAGTCCTTCATTATCCAGGCGGAGTTATCGAATTGACAACGGATATAATATATTGAGATCGAACATGCTTTTTTCAGTTATACATATAAAGTTCTCAATACTTTACCTAAAGGCTTATGATTATACGGCTGGCATCAACTTAAAGAAACCCTACCTTTATGAACAAAATAAGAAAGCTTTTCGTTTACTATGACTCAGATTAAGGTCACATTTCATTCGTAGTCCTAACTTATAAGTACACATTATAGTCAATAATCCTTTCTGCTGCGTTCCGATTTGTACTCTGTGCTATGACATAATGTTATTTTAAATTATACACTCATCTTTTTTTTATTTTAGATGATATTCTTATTAATAAGTATTGTCATTATGAACTCTAAAATTTACACAACCAACTATATTAAGGAATACAGTGGGATTAATTGCATAGAGTACATATTTGTATCTATATATTCATTAGGAAATATATTCATCGAGTCAAGGGTGTGATGCATTAGGCACACGTAATGATGACATCTCATTATTGCCAAAACAGTAATTAGCAGGTATAGTTGGGGTTCATGAGGTTGTAGAATTAGTCGAAAAACAACAGATTTGGTAAGAATATTGACGAACGAAAATAGATTAAGTAAATATTACATACACTTAAAATTTATATATATATATATATACCTCAAGTAATTTTTTATGATAGCATTCCAATTGTTTAATTCGTTGACTAGATCGATTCAATAGATTGTAATAAGAAGTTTTCAATTTGTTTGCTCTATCACAATTATCCTGATCAGCAACAGTAATAAAAGGTGAGTAGGAATAATCATTATTATAATTTTCATTGACCATTTCCTTTCTTGGTGAATATTGTGCAGTAACATCAATAGAAGGGAGATTATTTATACTACTGTTTCCATTATCAGTAATAATTTCACAAAGGTTTCGATAAGCATTCATACAATCATAGATTTTCTGTTCTCTATTTTTTATGGCTTCAAAGTTTTCCTGTACAAACGATAATAATTAATAATGACGAAAAAGAATCAGTATTAAAGTTCATAGTATACAAAATATAAAGCTCTTTTATAGTTTATCTCACGAACTGACACTATAATTAAAAAACCACTGGAAACTGAGAAAACACTAGATAACTGTTTCGTCCTGGTATGAGACACCTCACCACAGCATATAAACGAACCTAAGATGAAACAACTATCCAGTATTTCTTGGTTTTCAATGGTTGTTCGACACAAACCAATATCTGATGTAAAATAACAAATTTAAAAGTTTACATAATCTCCTTACACCAATAGTAATCATAAAAATAATAATCTTTTCTGAACGTGTGCAGATGATATTGTTCTGAAGAACGATCAAGGCTCCACGACCAAATCATCCAGCCCGCTGAACAGAACTCCACCAAAATCATCCACCTGATCTACGAATCTTTTCCACCATCTCAGTTACAGATATTAGGCAATGAGAAATGACTATTCGCGTATACAGGGTTCACTGAACTTATATAAAATATAATACACGGATTTCTAATTTTCAAACCACTATTCATACCAACAAATCTTAGTGACTAGTCTGATTACAATGACCTGAACATTGGACAGTAGTTTCGTTGACTTAAGATCCAATACAGTAAGATATATTTGCTTTGATTAATCTTAAAGGTTAAAATTGTTTAAATCACCTTATATTCTTAAAACAAATAGTACACTGAGGTAGTGGGATTTGAAATCGATATACCCTTTTAGTAAGGTTAAAATATGAATAGAATACATTGTTGTAAATTGTCGATGTATTCGTTATACAGATTGTCAACACAAACACTCGCCTATAAGCTATTCAAGAACGAAAGAAAAACAACAAAATTTGAATTGTTTACCAAAATAATATTACACAACCATGTGTTCCAATGGATTACAGTTTTTCCAAGAAACAAACAAGATACCTGACTTGTAATCTTTATATATATTTTGCACTTTTTTGTACTGTAACAAAAAGTTCAGTTTACAATAATGAAATTAATGCTGTCTGATTCTCTATTTTAAGAAAAATACTTGGCTGGTCAATTATTCAATTTCGTATAAGGTTTCTTCTTTATAGATTGTTATCATTAGAATAATTTAAAGTTATTATAACATAATAGCCAAATGTTGGTAGGGAAGATGTTTTGAATAATTACTTGTTAAATGCTCGATAAAAGATTAACGAAGTTGTATAATCCTAATATCCCTGTAAATAAAGCTTTTAATATTATTTTCAAAGGTAGATGGTAGCAAGCTCTGGGAAATCTCTTACAGACATTAATTAAGAAGGTAAAAAAAATGAAATAAGTGATTAGTTTTGAACTCTGTAACATCGTGATATTTGCATCGCCAACCATGTTGTAAAATGTCAACGTTAGGAGTTTTCAAGAAGGTGACCTCTCCCAGAGGTAACTGATAATCTTCCGTGTGCTAAGAATTGATAAGAAACTGATCGAAATCGAAGAAAGATTAGATATTATTAAAGTTTCCACATAGGCGATATCTCATTTGTTTATACATTTCTGGTAAAAGAATAAACTTTGGTTATTCTCCTAATAAATCGATTAATTTATTTAGCCAGCTAAATATATAAATTAATATTTACCTAGTCAACCTTGATTTACTGGAAATAAACGTTTTCTCCATTGATATTATGAAATTACACAAAATAATTCTAATTTTTGCCACTTAAGCAGCTTACTTATTGGAGAATAAAAAAGCTCACCTAAAGCTCTAAAGGAGTTTGAAATCATGACATTCATGGTTTTCAATGAGCGAACCACTTTTGTCTAAATACATTTTCTCTACGTTTCTTACTTCATTCAATTCCTGATGTAAGTCGACAATAATTTGGTGTCGTCAATGATGACTGTCTTACGTGGAACATGTTTAGTATTTACCCGTCATTATTTCTCATTAAAAATCGTGGAATCATTTCCACAGTCTGATACAATATGGTCACAATCAAGAAGCCATATAATACATTTTTCGACGACTTCTAATCAAGTAATTATTATACATTAAGATCCATAGAGTAACAGCCAAATAATCAAAATATCAACTGAAACACTTAAACATTATCAAAACTAAATTAACCTACTTTGGCAAAAGTGATTCGCACTTCTAAATCTTTACATATTCCCTCATCAACCGAACCCTCAATATCATAGTCATGGTCATCCGCATCATTATCATCATCATCTTCATGATCACCATGATTTACTGAGTTAGAAACGCATTCTTTCAATTCATAGCTACTTGTATTATGAATTACATGGTCACATTCTGAATCCAAAACTAAACTAGTATTACCATTACTACAATTAATATTCGTCAATATTTGAGTATCTTGTTCCACAGTCGATCCAATCAAGTCAATTGGGATTATTTGTTTAGATAGATTTTGGAAAATCGTTTCATCTATTGTCAATAATTCATTCAGTTGTAGTGTTTGTTCATCAACCCATTGTTCTTCACATTCGAATTCAATTAAATCATGGATGAGTGCATGTTCCGATTGTTGTTGTGACAATAATTGAATTCGCAAACATTTTAAACTTTGATCGAGCTAATAAAACAAACAAAAAAAACAATGTGGAAAATATATCATTGAAGCCATGAAATACATAATGTAATATATGTGTGTGTGAGTATATTACACTGCAATAAGGAGTCGTATGCACACCAAACATCGCAACGGTATAATTTGTAAGATAAAGATTTTGCTACTTTTCACCAAAGAAGACGTATACACATGAAAATAAACCCTTATATTTCTGATTTCAGTAACAGAGTAGGATATACTGTAAGCTGGCCAATTGGATTGACAAATACTGATAATCTGAAGTAAATTACGTTAGTATTATACACTTCAACGATGTGATGGTCAGATGACAGTCATTATAATCGAAAATAATGTGCATATTCAAAATGAAATATTATTTGTTTATATTAGCACTAATATTATTGCTAATAGTATTATTTTGTAGTACAATGAAATACATTTATTTTGTACACTGAATATCTTTTTATCGACTTGACAAAATAAATTGAAACAAACATGATTCTAATTCACTTGGTATTGGTTTACTTGAATCTTCCCATTGATGTTTAGGACTGCAATTGATCAGTTTGTTATTGGCATATATGCGTACTCTGAGTATTGCCTCGATATTGCCTTAATTTACAAGCATTATGAGCCACTATCCATCTTTGTTTATAGAAATGATTCTACTTAATTTTAACATTTTCTAGACGGGAGATTTTAGTGAGCCGTCAGGAACCATTTCTCACAGATTAAAAATGTAAGTGACAGAAGCGGTTAATTCAACTAATGAAACAACACAAGTTTTCTTTAAATTTCACTTTATCAATCCCACAACGAATTACAATTTACTTCAGGCTATTTTGAATTATTTTCGTCATTATAAAGTAATTTGACTTAAGAAATAAACGTTTGTCACATTTACTTTTATACGATTCACCAATCAATACCTACTTTCATCTACATAACCAAACAGTGATATTTCTAAGATATAGTTCTTTTTTTTTAAATCGATCGAACTGAACCTACTGAAATAGGTATACTTGAATCATGTCGATTAATTAGAGAATAACAACAAAGGTTTAGTAGAGCAACAAAAGATTATTTGAGAGTTAGGTAGTTAGTCATAATTAGTATAGAGCCTGGTATATATATATATATATATATATATATATATCAGAATGGGTTTTGTGGAGATTTTAGAAATTTCACTGGTTGAAATCATGAGTCCATTGAAGTTAGACCACCATGGAAAACCTGGAAGCACTGGACGGCCGTTTCGTCCTAGGTTTTCCATGGTGGTCTAACTTCAATGGACTCATGATTTCAACCAGTGAAATATATATATATATATATGCTCGTTGGTTCAAGTTACCATATTGAAACGATGATTAGAAAAGATATAGAATAAATGTAATAGCAATCATAATAAGAACAATTGAACATTGAGAAGATAGTTAAAGTTATTGGAATGAAAATGTATGTATGTATATATGAAGACGTACTGAAACTCATGATCTAGAAAATCGGTAAGAAAGTTATAGATTCATTGAGCTACATTCATACATTGATGATACTAGTCACAAAAAGTAGTGACTATTCAAAATTTTGCTTCCCAAATCAATTTTCAAAATTTAATAAATTTTTTATATTTTAAACGAAATGATAAATTTGTCAAGTAAACAAGAGGTAGGACTTATAGTTTATTAATAATCAGATTATTTAAATAAACAAGTGTTATTTCTACAGGAGGTCGGTCGCGGCTCGAATAGCTTAGTGGTGACGTCTCTGACTGTGAAGCTGGGTGACACAAGATCGAGAACGCCAGGGAGCATTAGTTCCCTCAAGATTACGGGTACACCTTGCTGACGAGTGCCAAGTAGCACGAAACCCGGGTCCAGGGTTTCCTGTCGACTACCTCCAGCCACCATCTAAGTGTTATTTCTTATTTGTTTATTAAATAGTTATTTATAATTTACACGATATGATTTGAAAATAATCGCAAATCATCTCCATAACCTGATACAGTTTTGATTTCTTTGTTTCAATGTTAAACATATTCATGTTAGTTAAATAAGGTGATAATTAAGAATTTTTAATGATTAGATAGTTAGGACTGCTAATATATAACAATATGAATAGTTGAAAACATAGAGCATAGGATAAAATAGACTGATAATGTTAAATTTATCACTATGTGTAGTTAATTGTTTTATCAAATAACTGGTGAATAATAGCTACAAGATAATAGTAATACTGTAGTGAAGGGGAACACAGGTGGGGACAACGGAATTGTATTTAGGAAAAAATTACAGTTACTTGGTAAAATGAAAAAAACCATATAGTAAATCACCAATTTGCAAAATATCAATCCATCATGTCAATCTGAACTGTTCTTGTTGCAAACATCAATCCATTGTCTCAGATTTCATTGTTCATGCGTTTTTTTACAAATTGCATCGTGTTCCCACTCTTCCTTTCTTGATCTTACCCCATCTTCTGCTGCCAGACATTAAGTTCTTTAACCCATGTCATATACTACTTATATCAATATAAGTAGCACGAACCACGATACTAAGTAAAAAAGAACAATATTGTACTTTAGTGGGGCCCTTTATTTTGTCGTCATTTAGATTGGATGATGTATGTTGACGGGCTCTTCGCTTTAGTGGCCAAAGTTCTGACCCCAAGGAGATCGCATGAATGATCGTTGTCGAAATAAATATGTCGCCTATTCTCGTATATAATCATCGACTTAAATCGCGTTAGTCAATAACGGAATTAAATAAGTCAAATAACGAGAATGGACTTTTGAATACATATATTTTGTAAATGAAGCGAATGGATGCGTAGTGGAGATAGCTAGTAAGCCAACTCCTATTTAACCAAGCATTAATCAATAGTTATAGTTACACAAAAGTAAGTTACAGACATGTGATGAGTAATGGGATAAGAAATGTGTACACACACCTACCGCGCTCATATAAAAACAGTCAAGATTGATAAGCGAATAAATAACAAGGTCAGAATGTGACTCAAGTAGAATGAACAGGTTGGTTTGTCCGAAAGCTAGAATAAAGCGTATGGGCATAACATAGTAACCGACACCACAGTACTTAATTACTTTGATAAACTTTGCATACCACAGTTAATTTTCTGTATTGTCAACTATAATTTTAGTCATTTTAACGTAAAATATACGTAATAACAACAATGAGTTTTATATAAAATAATCACAGAATGAACTTCTAGTTGCATGCTTTCAAAGTTTCATTTCAAACTTTGAATTACATCATACTTATATAACAGTTAAGATGATCTGATATTGAAACCAACTATTACACAAGATTCAAATATAAAACTTTGAAATTGTTGGTTTGGTGATCTTTGTGATAAAATAGTTGCAGCTTACTTATTTCTTTGACTTTTACATGTCGTGTTGCACAAATGAAGAGTAATGTGAGTAATGTCCTAATTTCAGTAAGTTATTAATTGGGAACAAATATTAAATTAATATTATTTTATTGTATATGTTTGGATGAAAATGAACATTGAAAATCGAATGTACGTATCCTGATCAATCTTGTAAACTGAAATCATTAGCACAACTCAAAATCATTCATAATCGAGCAAATCCACCCACTCATTATTTTCTTTCAGTTTTATTTCGTCGTACTAATTGCACTATCGTAACTTGTGCTCATTTACAACTGTGTCAGGGTTTATATTGATGATGATTAAGTGACTGATAATAATGTCTCAAGTCAATCATAAACAAATGACTCAACTTGATACAAATATGTAACGATCTAACTTGTAGCACATTATCGCTACAGTAAGCAGAAAGAAGTATAAGATAGTGCTGAAACGTATAATTTTAAAAGACGATAGCATTGAGACCGATTCTGTAGGATATCATATAAAGTCTTTAATTTTTAATAAAGTTTACATCATATACTTCCTGATACACCCCGAAACCGACAGTCAAAAGTTTTGCAGTTAAGTGATTGACCAACTGACAAAAGTCCCCTTATTTTACGATCGTTCTAAGTATACTATCAACCATTATTTGATAATTGATGTTGAAACCAATAAGGAAAAACTTACTTTATGCCATAAATTCACAATTTGTTTATATTGAATAATGAATTGCCTTCGACATTTCGAGTAACAGTAAACAGAAACATTCTGTTCTTCATGTTTATCTACTTGTGGTTTAGCAAGTACACGCTTTAATACATTTTCAAAGTGATTGAATATTGGTCGATATATGTGGATTTGTTGATGATGTATTTTTGCGTACATATTCAATTTAATCTTGTATTGATCAGCGGAGTGGAAAAACAATGTTTGTTTTTGTAAGACAGTTTCCTTATTTTTAGTAACGTAAGCAAGTTCAATTTCGTTATTATTCAATTTATTGGTTACTTCTAATAACCAACTAATTAAATTCGAATAGTTTTTATTTAGTTCTAAGGCAGCATCGGCAGCGATCTAAAATGCACATAGAGAAAAGGAAGAATATTTGTAAACATTATTTGGAAAGGAGGGGATGATGTCTAACGGTTTGCTAAAATAATAATAGTAGTTTGAAAGTATATTACATTACAGGTAATTAGCTAAATAACCAGAAATAAGATAACTAGTTATTTAATTCTTAGATAGGATTCCATCAATGATGGAACACAGGATAACGCAGTCTTCGCCTTGAGATTTTAGTCTTCAGAATACTGAATTATTATCCAGTTGTTCATACTATTAAGTTCAGTCAATTCATGATACTGCGCAACATTTATTCATTACTATCGAGGATAACTTTCCTAGTCCTGAGATGACTGAATTCTACCAGTCATGGCTTTTCACGAAGTTTTGTGCACTTTGGCATAGCTCCGAAGAGACCGTTTACAAGAGGAAACAGTTGACTAAAAATCTCTGGCTTTCAGTAGTTGTATTATAAACAGAGTCACTCTACCGTAAAAATTATCTTCCCAATAATCAACCATTATGAACAAGCCCTTCAAGTTACTAATACACTATCGACATTCACAAGGAAATGAAAACAAAAACGATTTAACTCATTATAATCCGAATTGTTCAATTATCATAACTCAACCAGCAGTTTTCTAGTTAGAATTAAATCAGCAATTAATATATTGATTGAAGCCATTTCTTGAAACAGTAGATCTCTTAAAATTACCAAATAGTTTGTCATCTTAATCTCACTACATTCTGTGTGTATCATTATTGCTCAATGATATAAGTTAATATTCCATAAATCAGTTTAATTATATTTATTATTATTCAGAATATTCATCATCAATGAACAATGGACATCTAAGATGCAGTTGGATGATCTAGACTTCGCAGACGATCTGGCCCTTCTATCCCAAACGCAACAACAGATGCAGGAGAAGACGAACAGTGTGGCAGCAGCCTCAGCAGCAATAGGCCTCAATATACACAAAGGGAAAAGCAGGATTCTCCGATACAACACAGAATGCACCAATCCAATCACAATTGACGGAGAAGATTTGGAAGATGTAAAATCCTTTACGTATTTGGGCAGCATCATTGATGAACAGGGTGGATCTGATGCAGATGTGAAGGCGCGGATCGGAAAAGCAAGAGCAGTATATTTACAACTGAGGAACATCTGGAACTCAAAACAACTGTCAACCAACACCAAGGTCAGGATTTTCAATACAAATGTCAAGACAGTTCTACTGTATGGGGCAGAAACCTGGAGAACTACAAAAGCCATCATCCAGAAAATACAGGTGTTTATTAACAATTGTCTACGCAAAATACTTCAGATCCATTGGCCAGACACTATTAGCAACAACGTACTGTGGGAGAGAACAAACCAGATCCCAGTGGAGGAAGAAATCAGGAAGAAGCGCTGGAAGTGGATAGGATACACATTGAGGAAAGCACCCAACTGTGTCACAAGACAAGCCCTCACATGGAATCCTGAAGGTCAAAGGAAAAGAGGAAGACCAAAGAACACATTACGCCGAGAAATGGAGATAGACATGAGAAAAATGAACAAGAATTGGATGGAACTAGAAAAGAAGGCCCAGGATAGAGTGGGTTGGAGAATGCTGGTCAGCGGCCTATGCTCCATTGGGAGTAACAGGCGTAAGTAAGTAAGTAAGTATTATTCAGAATATACAGAATAATAAGTTTATGAATATTGATCACGACTATATATACATCATGATTGAATTTAGGTAATAACCGTAGGGAAAGATTTTCATGTGTTCATTTATTTTTAATTATAGAAAACAACACTAGAAAACATTTTATATTACTTACTTGAAGACATTTTTCACGTAGATTGAACGCTTGTTTTAAACGTATAAAACGATATGTAATTTTATTGAATTCATCATTATTGTTGTGATCATTTTTTACAAGTATCTGATATAATTTTTCATGTTCTCGTAAATCTTCAGCTAAGATCTTTTATTTTGTGTTGTTGTTGTGTTTTGGTTTTGAAGAAAAATAATCAAAGTAAATCGTGATTAGGACAAGAATATAAATGAGAAAATAAATCTTTAGAACTGCTTTGTAAGACAGTTTAAAATTCCACATAGAATATTCAAAAACGAAGAATATTTGAGCGAACAATTCTTAAAAATGGTGAACGTTTGCATCTGTTACGGTATATATATATATATATATATATATATATATATATATATATATATACTTCAAAAAATTGTAATATTTGCAAATTAGAAAGATCATTCAATAAAGGTCAGTAAATTGTTCAGTCACAATAAGATAATAGTACTATAGCACTGGATCACCGAATACCTAGACTGAATATTATAAACCTCTAACCCTTCCTTTATTTTTATTTATTTTCCTTATTATCATTATTTGTCATTATCTATATCTTAATCTTCATATTCATCATTCCCAATTTGTTGACCGTAATTACCTTGATAACACCCTTATTACATATTATATTCACACAACATTATTATTATTATCTCAGTTGACAAAATTAATTTTTTTTGCATTTTCAGTTTTGCTATAGTACTATTTCGATAATGATATTAGAAATTTCACAGATTGAAATCATGAGTCAGTTGAAGCTAGACCACCATTGAAAACCTGGAAGCACTGGACGGCCGTTTAGTCCTAGTATGGGACTCCTCAGCAGACGAAGATTATCAGAACTATGTGATATATTAGCGCAATACATTTCGAACAATCTGGTTATACATTTACTTGTTAAGAGCATTTATATATAAAAAAATAAAAGGTCAACTAGACAGGAAACGGGGTAAGAGGAGATAAGGATAATGATAAGAGTAATAATAATAATAATGTGGACACAAAGCGAAACCTAATCACTCTGGATAATAAGTCAATATTACCAGGGTAGGTTTAAGGTGAGAACAAACTGTTTGTGAATACACAAAGAGGGTTTGAATTTTCGTATGGCTAAGGCTTCGATAAACCTTAGTATACGCCCTTTTACACTTTTATACAGCACTACAAAAGCTGAATTTAGATCAATCTTGTGACCTGTTTCAATTATATGTTTAGCAATAGAGGATGATGGTTCTGATAATCTTCGTCTTCTAATATCATTATCGAAATTTATCAAAGGGACTAATTGTTTTAAATTTCTTAAAAGAAGACTCCCTGCATATAGTACTATTATCTTATTGTGACTGAACAATTTACTGACCTTTATTGAATGACCTTTCTAATTTGCAAATATTACAATTTTTTCTTTTTGAAGTATCTATATATATATCGTAACAGATGCAAATGTTCACCATTTTTAACACATAACATTGTCAAACTCATTAAAACATGCCTTATTTTTGGCCTTTGTAAAATATTATAATTATGGACTTATAACTGTAGAGCCTGATGATGAAGTTATTGAAAACAATTGTTCGCTCAAATATTCTTCGTTTTTGAATATTTTTTAAGGCTTAGCAATTTCCGGATGTTGATATTCGCAATTACAACTGATCAATCTCTATTGTTACAAATGTATCCTAAGTCGATTGCCTCAATATAGTTATTTTGTTAGTATAAAAGTTGTGGAGATTATTGAGTTTTTAATTGAGATCATGAACCAATTGATGATAGACAACCATTGAAAACTTGAATGCACTGAACGGTCGTTTCGCCCTATGGAAGGACTCCTCAGCAGTGTGCATCTACGATCCGGCTCATGGGATTCGAACCCAGGGCTTTCAAGTCTCGCGCGCAAACGTTTAACACCTTTAGACCACCGAGCCGGCATTCAACAGTGTTAATGTGTTATTGTGTACAGCAGTACGAACCAGGATGTGTATTTGGTCCTGTTTAGGACTGGTCAGCTAAATTTACCTGCAAACCAGTGATTGCTCTTCATTTTACGGATATAAACAATATGCGAGGTGGATGTTTTCGATAGCTGAATAATAACTTCAAACTCTTTGTTAAAATTCTAGTAATAATAACTAAAAAAAGTACGTTTTAAACAAAGTACCTTCTTTAAGATTTGTATCAGTAATGTTCAACCAGTAGCACATAAACAGTATTGACAAAGAGTATTGAACATATATTTTAAGTTTGTTTAAATTTAACATAAAACCATATTTTGAGTAAATAAAAACAACTAGTATCATTATATGCATTCAGATGATACCTAATTGATATAATCCGAAAAGCAAATAATTAGTTAACTAGACAAATAACAAATGATCTACAAATTTTCGTTTAAATAAATAGTTATTTAAAGTAGTGAACACACTACAATCTCGATCAGTTGAGATTAGTCAACGACGAAACCACAACAATACGATATCCGTTTCTATTAGTATAATACAACTTTATCACTATAAAGTTCAAATGGAATAATACTCTTTAACAATGATGGATAGTGGCTAGCAGTGGAATCGAAGACGCGCGTTTCGTCCTATTTGGGACTCGTCAGCCAGATGTACCTGCATCTCAGAGTTGATGTTCACTCTGAGACTCGAACCCAGTACCATTCACTTCAAACACCATCGCGTTATCCACTCAGCTACTGAGTCCTGATAGCCACTTGCTTGTACAATGGGATGAATTTAAATTCACTTGGTATTGTTTGGCTTGTAAAAAAAACTCAATGGGAAGATATAAGCCAAACAATACCAAGTGAATACTCTTTAACGTCTAGAGATTTGTGCAAATTACGTTGAAACAATTGATCATAAGTGTTGTCAGTTAAAAATCGTCATTAACTATCAAATATTTTTGTTATATTCCTAATAACCAGTGACTATATGAAGCGGACTGACTATCATTTGAAAAATGGATTATATAACAATATTTTTAGTCAGCAAATGGTATGAATATTTCTATTTAGCTAAAAAATGTTTTAGCTATACAATGATGTTTTTGATAAGATTATTGTAAAACTACCCATTGATAATATTGATGATTCATTTGCAAATAAACTTTTCTTTTGGATTAATTAAAAGTCTATTTCTCCTGGATGACACTTAACTATTTATTTTGTTGTTACGATCAAATAATTATTGCAAGAATTATGCATCTCAAGTTTTTTTTTATTCTCATATTACATGAACTGGAGAGACAATATTATTAAGAAGGAAAATAGTTGAATGATAAACGATAAATATTTCTTGATAGACCACAACTAAACGTTGGATCAGATGAGCTTCCAGCAAAAGAAATTGGACTATTTTTTTTATATCACTTTCAACAAGGTGGGGATATTGTAAAAATTACTCAACCTTTAAACAAATTCATGAAATTAAAGTAAATTACTACTGAGTATATTAAATTTTATATTTACATTCAATCCAAGTTTCATAGTTTTGTTTTTGCAGAAGAGTTATTATTTGATAGTTAAATGAATTCTTTTAATTAATTCCATATTTCGATACTACTAATTACCACTTACTACTTATCCATCTTTGTATATAATGCTTGTGAATTAAGGCTATATAGATGCAATCCGTACAGTATGCACATATGGTAATAAGAGAGTGATCAATTATAGTCCTAAACATCGATGAGAAAATTCAAACAAACAATACCAAGTGTACTTACCAAATGATTTGAATTTAATGATTGAACGAAAATTATATCACCCAAAACAGAAGCAATGTTTTCATACTCTTTAGAGTTGAAAATAGTCATCGTGTACTGAGCTGGATTAGCTAAATTATCCAACAATCTTATAACATTAGTTGATAATAAGTGATTTGAATTGTCAGTTTCACTTTGATCATTTCCTGATGGTTTAATAGAACTACTGACAGTAGTGGTATCAGTATTAGTAATATGTTTAATGTTAAGAGTATTTTCAATGCCTAAATGTTCTTCGATCATTTGTAACCATTCATTTAAGCGAGATAGAGCGGATTTAGGATTCCGTTTTGTAATTAACATTTCACTAAGTTGAATTTCACTATGAAAGGTAAACATAAAACACAGTACATATGTAGACAACAATTAGTGGCAGAGACAAAATAAAATGACACTTTTTCAATACGAGAATATCATAAACAAATTGCTCAAATTAGCCTTCAAAATATGCATCATTCCTTTAGTTAACACAGAATGAATACAAAAGAGCATATCGCATTTCCGAATTATATATCGGTGACTTTCCTTCAACACAACTCATAAACCATAGGTTGTGAAAATTTTATCGCGAAGATATATTCTTTATTTATTACAAGTATTCAATTCAGAATAAAGGTATAAAAGATATGAATTTCAGGCTTCAAGAAGTACGCGTTTCATCCTATTCAGGAACTTATCATGACTAAATTTATCTGCATCTTAGCGTTGATTTTCAAAATAAGAGAAAAATCAAATACGTGTCGCGTCAAGTGTTAGCCTATTATCCAGTGGGCTATGGAGTCGTGACAGCTACCAATATGCTGAATGAGCGAGGTACTTATTTCAACAAGATAAAATGCGTGTCCTGGAAGATTCCATCACCTGTCGGTGTCCAAAATAAAATCACTTTAAAATATGCAAGCGATATAGAACCATACGTTCAATGAGACAAAATACGAGTACAGATTGTTTAAATTCAATTCCGAACACTAGCAATAGGACAAACTCTTACAATCTGTACAGGATGTTAATTTAGCTGGTTTATTATCAAAGAAATTAAGTTATTTGAAACCTTTTTCTAGGATGTAGACCAACTTATATCACAATTACTACTTATTAAAATGAAAACTTAGTATATAAATCTAAGAAAAATATTTAGTACGAATTTCTGAAAACAAGTGGAAGCACACATATGGACAGAATGAGAATTTTCTTCAATAATCAACGAAAAAGTTAGATAAGTTAACTATATCAAATCCATCCTAATGAATATCATATCAGTCAAATAGTACATATCGAGAATATATTAATTTCATTTTCTGACAAAGTTTCACTATTATTGTGGTAATCAAATGAATCGACACAAACGGATAACAATGAGTGTATAATGAATAAAGATGGTTTTCCGATAAAATCTTCAATTATGTGTATCTGAAAAAGTACTGAGCGACAACAGTTGACCGATGTCTGGCCGTTTTTATTTAATAGAGTTTTAGACTAGGATGAAATAACCGTTCAATGTGTCCTAGTTTTCAACGGTCCCTCTACAAGTGATTTCAGTTCATGATGAAATCTAACTTTAAGCTGAACATTCTCCATCACAAGCGATGATTGGTCCAAAACTGTCAAATGAATTGTTCGGTCGGATCATTTAAATCATTCAGGAGCACGAATCAAATTTAATTAAAATATTCTTCTAGCTTATCAATTAATAGTCAGTAGAACAACACGTTGACACTAATAAGCTTATGAACAATACGTAAGCAAAAAACTGAGAAAGAGTTTTTAGTAATTTGACTCTAATTATTCTTAACCAACATTTTTCAGGGTTCATTCAACACATTATTTATTAAGGAATTCCTTTTAATAAAGAATGTAATGAAGGAGTTATTACAGTGCAAAAATTAAACTACATTGTATTTCCTTCGCATTGTGTAGTCTAAATTAATAATAGGAAGTAAAATGTTAATCATAAATTCATTTATTTAACAAAAGCATAACTTATCAACTATACAATATACTTTGAGCTGAACCTACTTAGTGTACACAAACAACTGATATGACCTGGGTGTCTAAACATAAAAATGGTTGAGAGGGACTCAAAACGGTAAAATTTACACGCTTAAAAAATAACAACATTGATCGATTCACGATCTCAACTAAAAACTCAACAATCTTCACAACCTCATACTGATAGAAATCAGAAAGATTTGAATAACTTTCACATCCAAATACGAGACTTCATCTCTTCAGAAATAACTCATCACAACACCAGGAAAGTCAAAAATCATGGCAACCGCATTAAGTATATGTAAATAAATTAGTATCTAATCATTCACATTTCTTTAACAGCATTCAGTTTGTGATATTCCATTATCAATTTAGATCAATAATATCCATTTCATGCTCAAAAACTATATTGGACTTTTTGATAAGAAAAAACAGCAACTTCCAATACATGAATCATGGAAGTTGGTTTCAACCAACTTGTAAACAGTAAAAAAAATAAATACGGTACAATGTGTGTCTGTTTGTTTGTTTACTGAGTATACAAAAGTGTTCATTTGTTTATAAACTAAGAAACCTTTAGTTCGTTTTTCACAGTTTATCTACATCTTGTGCATAAATATACATGTGTAAAAGGCTAATTTTACTTATGTAACATGCATGTTTATGAAAAAAACCGTGAGATAATCATACAAAAATAACCTGTCACATATAAAACTTTAGAGAAAAACAAATAAATAAACAAAGAGAATTAGATGCAGTAATTAAACAAACAAAAATTCACATTCAATTAACACAAATACAAAATAAATAAATTTCAATAGTTGAGATCATGAATTAATTGAAAATAGACCATCATGGAAAACCTGGAAGTACTGGATGGCCGTTTCATCCTGTTATGGGACTCCTCGTGGATGCGCACTGCTGAGGAGTCTCACAATAGGACGAAACATCTGTCCAGTGTTTCCAGGATTTTTATGGTGGTCTAGCTTCAATTAACTCATGATCTCAGCTTTTGAAATTACTATAACATTCACAAAACCTTTTCTGAAAATAAATAAATATTCATATGATATTCACTTATACAACACAATATTCTACTGGATTGAAATTTTCTCTTACCCATATACTTGAGACATTTACTACTAATATAATGGGGTCGTATAAAGATGGATTAGTTGAACTCACTGTAATGATAATAATAATAATAAAGATGTGAAAAGAAGAAATTGAGGTTGATATAGGAATATTAATATTGAACTAACTATCTGGATAGTATATAAAACGTGAAGTTACAATCGGTCAAATAAGACAGTTGTGAAGAGAACTCTGAAGAGTTTAAACTAATGAAGTGCTTTTAAAAAAACTATATGACAGGTTAATTTCTTCACATTGCTGAGATTCCAATACAAGAGCGAAACGGTCGTTAAGTGCTTACAAGCTTTCAATTATGGCCTAACATTGATCGATTCATGATATCAGCCTAAACTCAACAATCTTCACAACCCTACACTAATAATAAATTTAACGCTAAGATTAAAAAAAAGTACAAGTTCAAATTATTAACATTAATACAGATAAAAATCAATGACAGTTTGTTTTCGATCTCGACAAAATTCTTCACGTGAACTTAATTACTGCTTAAGGTACACAGCTAGCAGATTACAGGTTGAACTTCCGTTCCACCTGACTTGTTTAGAACGGTTGAATAGTATCACCAGGACATATAAAAAACGATGTGGTTTAAAATGTAAACACTATGTGTTTAAAAGACCCCAGTATTATGAATTAAATAATCCTTTATTATTCTCCAATTACAAAAACATTCAATCATTTTACAACTATCTGTGTAATTCAGACATCAATCTTTTTTTCATGTGAACTCATCGCGTTTTCAGATTCTCCTACGTGTAATAATTCTACCATGGAGACAGATGAGCTGATGCGTCTGTATGCATAAATATTAACCGCCTTAAGTTTAATTAAGTGTGAAGTTATTAGTATGCTTCAAATAGCTAACCAATAACCTTCAATATTCAACGCTTCTTCGACTCATGTCAGTTTGTGATAAAGAATAATTTCAAAGTGAGCATAATCTTCACGACATCGTTACATAACATTTGATTAATAATAAATACCATATATCATATCAATTATATATATGATATAGTTAAAGTGGACATTTATTCCATCTTTAATATAACTATGCACTAAAATGACATACAATTATACTGAGTATGAAGCCGCAATAAACTTTCCTTTAATGAATCATAGTACAATTCACTAGAGATAGGCTTGTCAACTGTTCCATCATTGATCATGATGTAGTTGTGACCTTAGATGGTTTAACGTATAAAAGGCTCTACGTTAATCAAAATTATAATAATGCATTGGTACTTTCTAAAGCAAAATACGTAACATATTTCAAACTAAGGGAATATTGGGAGCCTTCCACATTTTCTTGAAAAGGGTTTCAGACGCTGAAAGAATATTCAGTATATTTTGTTTAGTCAGGGTTCTTTAGAACATCTCAAGAGAATTTTAGAGAACGGTTGATTTTTTCATATCTTAATTGGATACTTACCAACTTTTTAATTAGATTTGGCTGACTTTTAAAGGCTTCTAGAATGTCAACGTCACATGTACACATATAGTTTTGTCTGCATTAAAAATACCTTCGAATTAAAACTGTTTTCACACTACTTCTTCTCTTAATTTATGCTCGAATTTTGAAAGTTAAAAACTAGGACACAGAAAGTCACTGTTTAAATGTTCAAGTACAAAATGCATCATAAAATACGAATATACATAATAAACGGTGATTGTTAAATTGATTCTTACCACTTCGACAGACGTTTCCCATAATTTCCTTTGACAAGTTGAAGTTTTTCAAGCATCTCATTTAGAATATTCTTTTCTGGATCTGTACATGTACAACGTTCACGTAGATTACTGCCCATTCTCATCACCAAATGATAATCCGATTGTTGTTCATGAAATTCTCTATGCTATGAAAATATGTTAAATAAAAGGTTAGGAATGAAATTGTTAATAAATATTTTCAAACTACTAGCTATGTATAGTATTTAGACATATGTATCAAGTTAAACACATAGAATATAGTTTCGGTGTTACTAAGTTACACATGAAACACAACTATCATCGTTTTTGTACAAACTAAAACGATGAGTTAGTATAGTTTAGAACATTTTGGATTGGTGTTCAGTGGAAATTCAAACCGGTTTTATCCGTATTAGAGTTTGTCGATGCTTGTTTTCTTATGCAATAAAGCTAGTTATTTATTTATTTGAACACATAAATATTGGTACAAGAGTGCGCCAAATATATATGCGCCACACAAGACAACGAGAAGTTAAAGAAAAGGAAAAAGAAAAAAGGTAAGGAGCGTGAAAAAAGAGAACGATAACAAAGAGATTAGTGTAAGGTAGTGTAATAATAATGATAGTAATAATGAGGGAACGGAAAGGTACAATCAGAAGAAATCTTTCAGTTAAGGAAGATACAACCATTTTTTACGAAGAAAGTAAAAGTAGGTTACATCAGGATCGCCACTGGCTTCTATTCTGAGCCATATCTGATAACGTCTCTAGCCACTGTGTAGCACCATCTCTCGGACTCCAGCCAGGGAGTCGTGAAGGACTAACACAAGCCATCCCTTTGCCACGACACCATGGGGTCTCACTTTCATACACATGATCATTAAATAAACAACGATAAGTTTTATTTTCACAAGTTGGAGTTCATCATTCACCTCTATATTATTTATTCAATTTGAAGTCGATAAAAACAGTTACATTCTTTATACTAACTAGAATTTATAAATTGAATTATATAATAATATTTTTATTATCCATTTAGTTTCGTTTCTAACAAGTCTGTTACTCATAAGGTTGACTTTTTGTTGTTGTTGATATTCAATAATGAATAAAACTATTCTTTGTAAGTGTGTATGTAAATTATTCAGACTGGTATCATTTAGTATAGTAGTCATTTATGCTATTAATGAAGTGAACGGGTAACAAAATAATCTTTAGTAGGATCAGATCAGTTGTAAGAAATAAAGAACAACTGTATCATACGTGATATATGTTAATGTTATCTTACTCAAATAGATATAATACGAAATTGATCAAATGGAATGTATCAGCTCTGAGGACAATGAGAGATTAGTTGCGTTTTAGTAAATGAATGAAATTTGTTAAAGATTATGCTAAAGAAATGAGACTTTTTTTCTAAATGTAATCAGATAGTATCTGTCTCAGTGAAAATTACTATAGGGTTAACAGCTTATATATCATTTTCATAACCGACAAAGAAAAAGTGGACAACATTCCTGTTGAGTTATGATACTATGAAAATGTAGTCTATAAAGGGCGGCCTGCTTGAGTATCTAGGCTACCTGTTCCTGCCATCTAGATATTTCAACAAGTTATAGATTTTTGTTTGTTTTAGTATATCATTATGTCTATTAATCGCATAACCTATTCTGCTACGTTTCTGAAAAGTGTACAACCTTTCGTTGTCAAAGTTACAAAAAACTCAATAAGAGACAATGTGGTCGCTGGCAATATACAACGAAAAGAATGTACATTATTCAGATGTTCATTTAGTGAACTGCTAACATCTAACTGGTGATCACTCAATATTTATCTCCAGGACCGACCAAGAAAAAGGAAACGGAAACTTGTTGAAATACTTTGTGCTGAGAATTCTATATTGTACCAAAAATATAATATTGAATAAAGCTAATGATAATAATAATTAGGTGTCTTATTCAAAATTAATTCGTTTGTTATTTATAAATCATTTGAATGAAGAAATCTTAATGGTATTTACTCTTCTATTATCGTCAGTCCCAATCGCAATAAACGGAAATTTTTGTTACTTATTCAGATAAACAGTTCGAGATCATTTTAAATCTAAACACATATTTTAATCACAAACTTGTTTAGTTTAAATAATTGGACAAAAAAGACAATTCTCAACACTATACGGAAATACCAATAAAGTATATCCTCATAAATTGCCACCATCATAACAATCTTTTTCAATTCACGGGGTTAATATTACATCAATCTAAGATAATACAGAAACGCGTTGCATTGTTGTGGCTTAGCTTCGTTAATCAATCACCTTGACAAATGTTATTATATAAATCCCAACGGTGTTTGAAATTAGAAGGCAATAAGAAGTGGCGGCTACAGTTTATTAGCGGATAGCACGGATCATAAAACTACAAGCCTACCAAGCTAGTTTTGAGCAGAGAGGCGAATATGTGTATACGAGCAAATACAGAGGCAAATGTATAGTCAAACCGAATAAGGTGCAACTAGGCAAGGCAAAGGCTAATAATAAGATTCGAGTACATATATACATGGGAAAGAGAATGATTCATCGCGCGATATTTAAGCTATTAACACTTAATCTAGATGGATATGTGCGTAGGCTGTCATACGATCAAGAGTATACGTTTATAGAGACAAGACGGTGATCATAATAGTACAAAGAAATATGTGAATTGTTACTGTTCGAATAACATTGTCTGTTAAGTAAATAAATAAAAGGGTTTAACAAAATTTAACCACAATCGAAATTGATTGTAGAAGAGCTGCTATAGCTTCCGCATTCATCTTACATAATCTGAATGAAAAATGATAGATCTATGGAAAAACAAAGATATTGTTCTATTAAATGAGAGTGTATCCTAAATTTTCTAGAAAGCTAAAAAATTATATTTCATTTCAATTTCTGAATAATCGTAAGACAACTAGTAAATTGATATTAAACTTACCAAAGTTTTAAGTGACAACTGACTGTTTTCATCATATACTGTACGTGTTTCAAAGGCCTCGAGTATCTCCAGTTTGGTTAAGAACCAGTTTAATAAACTATAATACGCTACATCAAACTGAAAATGTTTTTTTAAAAACACATGTAAAATAAAAGAGATTATAAGAAAACTTTTTCACAAATACAATGATCAAGTAACTTTTAGTATATCGAAAAAGGATGGTTTTGAGTGGAAAGTTATCGTGCAGAAAACAAATCTGTAAAAGGTTTGGAAAATGTATGAACATTGCTTTACAAACCATTATGAACAATGTAACAATAAGCTACTGTTTTGTTTGTCATAGGTATAAACATGTTATCTCATCAGTAGATAAATACTAATTATTAAAAACTTTTGGCTTGAATCATACAATGATTCAGACGTTTTCAAAACCGCAGTAGCGCCGTATCAAAAAACTAGAACATATATTTTACAGACAAGAAATGGCAGTCTAAAAGTATGTACCACAAAAATATTTCCTATTACTACTGTAAAGTAATCTCTGTATAACTGGAGACGTCAGTGAACATTGATCTATCGAAATATAATTACTCTTTTAACATTAATAAAAGTTACATAATAGTTATCACTATCGATTTTAATTCCTAGTTTTCTGATCTTAACACAGCAGTGTTCGCAACAGCTTTAAAGACATAATCACGGTTAGAAAACTAAACAACACAATTTTAAATAAAGTTATGACCATAACGTGAAATGTATGGCTTATCGGCCTGGAGAAAACTGTCAAGCAGTAAATCGTAAGCCTCAATCCTATTCAACTACCCTACGGTTTATACAATTACCTAGTATAGGTAATTTTAATATACGTTTATAGTCACAAGTTACTTACTTTAGTATCTTCTTTCAATGCTTGAGTAAGAATTTTTCGCCGTTCTATTGCTCGACGCATGAGACTTGTAAAATTGTGTTTCATTGTATTAATAGTAGCTACTGTTTGTGATACTTCTATAGGATGACATAGAGATTTGATTAATGGTAGAGAATTATAAAGATTAATTGCTAATCTTTCATGTGTTTTCAGTTGGTGAATAGCATTCTACAAAAATAAAGCGTTATAAAAACAACTAGTATTAGTGCTATTAGAAGTAAAATCAATTTCCAATAAACTGTAAATATATGTATCTGTAATAATTAAAATAGAATAATAGCAGTATTAAAGGTGAATTACTCCGCCACAGAAACAATCAATGTGTCCATGAGTAAACGGAACATTATGTAAATATCATTTCTTGCTTTAAATTAATTTGTGTATATATTTAAATCCGTTTATAGTGGTCTAGCTTCAACTGACTCATGATTTCAACTATTGAAATAAATATATACTTTTTTTGTTGTGATTTGAGTAGGAAATTGTATTTCTGACGTTCCTTGACTTGGTGTAGACCACTTCGTCAGAGTAAATAAATAACCAAAAGAAAATTAACATAGGTTTACATAGTTCCTATGTACTACTTCAACTTGTGTTAATTTAAGTCGGTTATTTATAAGTCACAAAATGTCAGAAATACAATTTTCTACTCATTTAGGACGTTACAAAAAAAGTCATTATCAACTCGCTAACAAATACTCAGTTTATTTGAAACTATCATGTCCAACTTAGGCATTGATGCCTACAAAAAAACTTTTATAGTGGAGTAAAGTTCATTCTTCAAGATAACATCTTGATTGGTATAAGTCCGAATTTCAATGTCAGAGAAGACTAGAGAATTCAACCTTCAAATACCTGACAACTCAATATAGTGCATGAGATTTCGAGCCACTAAGACCAGTGAACACATATCTGTCTGACCGATAGAATTAGATCAACACTAAAAAGGATTAAATATTGGTCAATTAATGGGAAATATCTCATTCCTATAAGAGGTCGGTTCAAAATTAAAGAGCTCAACAATGAAGTATCAGATTATGAAACTTGGCAACTAAGGTTTCGATCCCACCGACAGCATCGGTTCCCATCAAAATCACATGTTGACCTTTCTAACTAGTACTAACTATCATGAAACCTAGATACAGCGTTTCTTACTACCTACTTCCAACTACTTTACTCTAACAATGTTTAACAATATATGATATATGAAGCATTCACTAGCCAAACCTACAGATATTTATACATAAGCAAAAATAAATCACTATAAAGCAACGTTAAAATAAAACTGAATTTTTTATTTTTATTTATTTAAACACATAAACATTGGTACAAGGAGGCACCAAATAGATATGCGCCACATAAATCATTCGATTTGTGTGAGGGCTGTGATACTGCCCGGACGCCCAGACCGAAGCAGGTGGTTTTCCTAGGGGGTCACACCCCCGAGCCTTTGACCTAAACGTCTAACCCACAAGGCAGTGGGGCATCGTAAGGAGATGCAGTCCCATGGTAGCCTGTGACCAACGATTGGTTCATACGCCGTCTGTTCCCTCAGGATACTGGAGCCCATGTGCACCATTGGTTTGGAATCCGGTTAAAGCGCCGGACATTCGCTTTTCGTCCTCTCAATTTCGTAAGAAACAACCCCGCCACGAGAAGGCAGTGAGTAGGACTTCCCTGGCAGAGGCTATGTACGCGTGGCCGTGTGAGAGCATTTCGAGAGGGAAAGCGAGCCCACCCCACTCTCGGCCATACCAGGGCATTTAGGGGCTAAATCGGATGTCCCTGCCAGGACGTAGTATGAAACTTGGCGACTAAGGTTTCGATCCCACCGACAGCATCGGTTCCCATCAAAATCACATGTTGACCTTTCTAACTAGTACTAACTATCATGAAACCTAGATACAGCGTTTCTTACTACCTACTTCCAACTACTTTACTCTAACAATGTTTAACAATATATGATATATGAAGCATTCACTAGCCAAACCTACAGATATTTATACATAAGCAAAAATAAATCACTATAAAGCAACGTTAAAATAAAACTGAATTGTACTAAAAGTATTTAACATTACCTTTACACTATTTAATTGTTCTGTACAACATCCAACTAATTTTGATGGTCTATAAAGTTTTGATAAACTACCATGAATTTCATTAAATAATAATTGTAATTGTTTTCTATTTATGATAAAGTATTTTATAAATTTCAAATGAACTTTCCATAATTTCATTGATTCTATACTTTGTAATTGAAATTTTATATATTGTCTTATTATACGTAGAATAGTTAATTCTAAATGAGATTTAATCTTGTTGTTGTTTCTTAATGATGAAGATGATGATGATGATGATAATGATAATGAATTTTGATGATATAATTCATTGAATATATTCTTATTATTTAAAATGTAATCTTCAATATTTGTAAATAATGATTTATCTTGTTTAAAAGTATCATTGAATATTGAATTAGGTAATTGTTTCATTAAATTATTTATACGTAATTTGCTTTCATTGAGTGATTTTAAATTCCAATCCTGTTTGTTGATAATAATAATAATGATAATAATAATAATAATAATAATAATAATAATAATAATAATAATAATGGTAAAAGTGAAACGGAAGGATTGGAGAAATAAAACAGGAATTATATATATATAAACTTACTTGCTTACTTACGCCTGTTACTCCTCGTGAAGGAGCATAGGCCGCTCACCAGCACTATCCATCCAACCCTGTCCTGGGTAATCCTTCCCAGCTCCTTCCAGTTCCTATTCATCCTTTTCATATCTGCTTCTATTTCCCGACGCAAGGTGTTCTTTGGCCTTCCTCTTTTCCGCTTCACTTCAGGATTTCATGTTAGGGCTTGATTAGTGATGCAGTTTGATTATTTCCGTAATATATATCCTATCCATTTCCATCATATTTTCCTAATTTCTTGTTCAGCTAGAAGCTGGTTTTTTCTTTCCCAGAGAAGGCTGTTGCTGATGGTATCCGGCCAATGGATGTTGAGTATCTTGCGTAGACAGCTATTTATAAATACTTGCACCTTCTTGATGATGGTTGTTGTAGTTCTCCAAGTTTCAGCTCCGTACAGAAGAACTGCCTTAACATTCATATTGAAGATTGTGACTTTGATATTAGTTGAAAGTTGTTTTGAGTTCCATATGTTCTTCAATTGTAGGAATGCTGTCCTTGCTTTGCCAATACTCGCCTTTACGTCTGCATCTGAACCTCCTTGTTCATCGATTATGCTTCCCAGATATGTGAGGGGTTCTGCATCTTCCAGAGTTTCGTTATCAAGAGTGATTGGATTGTTGTTCTTCGTTTCGAATTCGAGGACCTTGTGTATGTTGAGGCCAACTGATGCAGAGACTGCTGCTACACTTGCTGTCTTTATATGCATTTGTTCATGTGTATGTAGAAAGCTAGAACAAGTGTGGAATTTTGATCAGATTACAATATCTGAGCTAGATGGATTCGTTTTAAAGTTTTCGTTGTCGTTCTGAATAATATCGTATGCAGAAAATTCCTTGATACAGGACATGAAGTTGATACATTGAAGTCCTTCCAAGGTGATTAACAAACAAGTAAACACAAACCTTTTGAAATTTGCCGAAGCGATAGCAATCAAACGTCTAAAACCAGATCTATGTATACAAAAAGAAACAGTAATAAATCTTTGTTTGCCCTGGTAACATTGACCCTCCCCCCTTTTATTTATTACGTCATTCACTATTGCAATTCTTTCTGAATTTTTAAAATTACGTCATTCATAACTGACTGATTTCAATTCATACCTTTCTTTATTACCATTAATCTATTTTCAGTTACTTCTAACGTGTTTTTTAATTCCTTGAGTTCTAATCACTATTTCAATGTTCTGGAACCTTCCCTCTCAAACTTTATTTATCCGAAACAAACGATTTTTATCACCTCATTAACTCTATCGGAATCTTCACTACATCATGATACCTATATTCATCTCTCATCACCCTCGTATGTATAAATATGTCAACATCTATAATAACTTTGAATTTCAAATATTTTAGGTTGTAAGCAGCTGATGAGAACCTGACGAAATAAAATGAATTCATTTATTATTCTGCACCAATCTTTGTTCTTGCTCTCTTTAAAATAATAAAGGGAACTATGTGTAAGAAAACTTTTTACTAATCTTATGTTAATGATGGAAAAACTATTATGGTTAAATGTTAAGTTATACTTGAACTTTAAGTGACTAGATTATTGACAACATTTAAATGTTTAACAATGTAAAATTATCTTTAGTTAAAGTTCATTGTATTAATTCTACAATAATTATCCTTATGCATGTACTATACAGATTACTGGAAATATTTGAGTGGTATAGGGACTAAATGAAGCTTTTACCCCATCAGAAATTCAAACTACTACCAGTCCTAGTGTAATCATGAATATTTATGTTGTGATATGATTAACTTAGATTTTGGTTAACATAAAAGACGTTTATTGACTACCAGCTAACTAGTAGTGATCATATATATAACAGACATAAGCACTGAGGTCCCAGATAGACATTTTAAGTTTAAATATACAACATTAAAATATTGCATTGAAGTGGGATGGCAGAGAAGATTTGTAGCTCAGGTAGATGATTTGGGCGAAGTTTTGTTCTCTAAGCTGATAGAAGTTTGTGCTGATGATGCTTTTTAGAAGAACAATGAAAGCTCCATGACCAAACCATTCAGCTCAGAGAACAAAACCCCATCTATTTTGAGGTGGAGTATTTGAAAATTCACAATAAATTTACAAGATTAACTGATTTGCTAAAAAAAACAAAAGAAAAGAGCCTACCTTAAATTCTTTCCATGTACTGTTCACTGTATCCAACGTTAAATTATTTGGTTTAGCAAGTTTTATTAACTTATCATTCAGTTGACTTAACCAAACAGAATAAGCAGTAATTGAAGATTGTAGTTTATTTTCCTATAAGATGAAAGAAAGAAATTACTTAATGTTCATTTCATCAACTAAATACGATTTCAATATAGTGAAAATTCTCAGCTTGACATTTGGTAAAAAGAACGAATCGAACGAAGAAATTTCTTTTCAAATAGTTTCTCATCATGGCTCTACACTAATATTATATATATATATATATATATATATATATATATATATATATATATATATATGATTTACAACAATGAAATAATACTTATCGAGTAGCTGAGTTACATAATAATTATATTAAGTAATTGGAAGAAAGAGGATTATGATAATCAAAGTAATTATTCGGAAAATCATACAGTTGCAACGTTGCATAATATAGAAAAAAGTAGGGACTAACTAAATATTTTGATAAAAGGTCAGTGTTATAGTAGTTCTGTAAGAATCAATAGACGAATGTTGAGAATATGTAGAATACAAAATCGTTCATTGATCTCAACTGTGAAAAAAATTGGAAGAAATTAGAAAGTGATCTTCATATTTTTGAAAGGGTTTAATCAAAATTCAGCGGAAAACGCACTTCTATACTGATGATCAAGGTAGAGATAATGGTTGTGCAAGTACTGTTTATTGTTATACTAGACAATGTGGTGTGGATATTGCCATCAAAAACGTAAACCTGTGCGTATGATATATATATATATATATATAACCAACATGCATGTAATAAAAGAATAACGATTATCACAACGATAATAAATGCCATCACTATAGACAACAACATACATGGTGCAAATTTTTAACGGATCTGTAGATGTTGTGTTGATGAGGGAAAACGTCAGCATAATGATGTGTAAACATTTTTTTAGAATGCTTATTCTAAATAATTACAACAAACAAGCTTACAAAATGTTTCATCGCTATGCGAATAGCTGCTTGCTAGTAGTAAAAAAAAAATTGAAAAGCATAGAAAATGGATGAAAACTGCACGTAGGTACTTCTTCAATGTTGGCGTAGCAGTATAATAAGATTCGGGTTTGAAGTACTGATTTACAGTAGCTTAGTCTATGTTAAAATGATTTTTATAACTGTTTGACGTTGTAAAAACATTAGAAGTTACATAAAGTAAAGAATAGAACTTTTTTCTCACATTGAGGCTCTTCAGTAGTCCTGAATTTCACGATCTGAATCCTACAAATATTGTCTAATTCTGCTGTCACATGGCTAAGATTGAAGATTCTAGGGTCACAAGTATGGACCTCTAAGATTAAATTTCATTAAAATGTGATCAACTGTTATTTAATTTTTAAATTCAATTCATATACATACAACAATGAAATTCTCATCAACAAGAATTCCAAAAGATGTTCAAACATTTATGTTAAGATTATACGATAACTAAATCCATTAAACCACTGAGTAATATTTCGACAGTTTTACGGAGATTTATATATATATATATATATATATATATATATATATATAATTTCCATCCTGAATCGACAATCTCTGAAAAATCATTGAAAGTTATAAAACAGTGGGGAGCTAGTTCATCTTGGTTTAACACTTAAGCAGAACTTAAAATCATTAGGTCACGCGATGAATACGATACCGTTGAGCCGTCAATAAGTTGAAATATGAAAGTTAACATTTCGAACACCAATCGCATTTTAGGATGGGTCCCTATGTTCACCCTCTGTTATCAACGCTGTTATTACATCATTTACCACTTGGTTTAACTCATATGTTACAGTTTCTCCGAAGGAGCTAGAAGCAGATTGTTGTGGTTTATAGAAAATATTTGTGCGAATGTTGTATAATATGTCAACGGTTTACAAACCACCGGATTTATTCAAATGACATCGAATTTTTGACAATCTATCAATAAATACTAACGTTCTAAATTAGTGTAATATCAATCCTACAATTTTTGACATTGATTATATTTTAGTTATTCAAAATATCAACACATACATGCGGTGGAGAATATTTGTAGCTCAGGTAGATGATTTTGATGGCGTTTTGTTCTCTGAGTTGGATGGTTTGATCGTAGAGCTTTCAGGTAAATGTTTGTGCTGATGATGCTATTTAGAAGAACAATGAAAGCTCCACGACCAAACCATCCAACTCAGAGAACAAAACTCCATCAAAAACACATACATATCTATCTAAGATCAAAATGTGAGGAAAGATAAGAAGCACTCAGTAAAATACTTTTGGCTCCTACTCTGTAATCATGATTTATTGACTTTTCAGATATATAAAATAATCAAATCAAACTCGATCATTCAAAGACTGACATTATTCAAGAGACAACCTTGAAATTATCTGTACCGTCTTAAGAAATATCATGAACCTCTAGATGATGCAAATTTCCGAATAGAATGTAAAATTACTTGTATAACACACTACAACAGATCACGTCGGGCTCACCAATTATGTGGTGGTCGGTATTCGATATAATCCTTAAACTTCGTATACAGTTCGTCTTGATAATCGTCCTATATTACGCCCCACGCATTTATTCACTATGCTAACCTTACTACTAACCACTTATTTGATTCGATGACTCATTCATTTCACTATGTATATATATGTCCATGTTATTCATATTCATTGCTCTCTCTCTCTCTTGCTCTCACTCACCTTCACTTAATTGTACGCGCTTGCTCGTATTCATATTCGCTGACTCCTCGCTCGCTTGCTTGCCTTTCGGCATAACTCTTCTATGCTTGTTTAACGCATCTGTAATTTTGGATATGTGTGTATGGTCCCGTAATAAGCGTAATCAACACTTCGTATTCGTCTTCTGATTAATATACCCTTGGGGCGTTATATAGGACAGTTATCAAGACGAACTGTATACGAAGTTTAAGGACTAGATCGAATACCGACCACCACAACACTCATTGTTCTCCAATATTTATTTGAACGGATTTGAACTTTCTAATAACCTTGAAAAATATTACTAAGTTGTCAAAAAAAATAGTTAATGTTCGACCGGACAATTAAATAAACCACCATGAATAACAAAGAATGGAATGCGCAATTCAATAACTGGATATTAAAATTATTTTTCAGAAAACTCACCCGATTTATTTTATTGATCAGTTCAGTTTTCTTTTTTGTTAAATGGTAAGATTGTTGTTCAATTTTCAGTTTCAATTGTTTTACATCATTCTCGATCTTCATTTCGTCAGTATTATTATTATTATTACTATTATTAGCAGTAACAGTATCGAAGCAACGATCATTTGAAATAGTTTTAAGTAGAGTTTGTATAGATTTTAATTCATTATGCCACATCTGTAATGAAAATAATAACAAGAATCTTAGGACCTAGAATATTGTTCAACTGTTTAGAGATTAAAATTAAGTGATATTTGTTAACTACATTATATGTATACCGCGTAATATAACACATCGTTTACAAATCTATGCACTCGTTTTTAAGCTATATACATTTTATGTGAGGAATATATATATTAACCGACTGTCTAAGCCGAAGCATATGAAAAGCGGTTCCAATATATAATTCAATAACTAAAACTCAAATCATTTGAGTATAAAACCATTGTAACAAAAGCGTCTCTGTATCGAGTAATTAGTAACACTATGTTTTCATATTTTGACTGTTTTTAGGGTATTTGACTGATTTTGCTTTCTGGAATCAGGTTCCCTATTCAGTGTACTGGTTTTTAGTTTATTTGTTCAAAATGATTTCTTATCTCCTTCATAGTCATAAGTGATAGGCATGGATAAACTGGTTAGTAGAGATTTGATTTTTATTGATGAAAGTGAAGCATATGCACTGCAGTATAAGTGACATTGCAACATATTAACGTTCATCAAGTTGAGTTTAAACAACATACTGCTTACTAGAGAATGATATTATAAATGGTTTGGAGTATTTGACGTATTCTGACTTGTACTCCTAACTAAAAAAGCACTATATAATCTGTTGGGTCGGCTTCCGGAGAACTTCAACGGAGCCTCCAGAGGCCCACAAGGAGCCGAAGAGTCCTGGCCAATCAGAGTGTGATGGAACGTTCTAGAATTCCAACGTGGCGTGCTACTATTGGTCGGTAGCATAATGTGTTGTTATCGGATTGGCTGTAAAATGATGTTGATTTAACAGATGCCAAAATCTATAAATACCCATGCTCTCAGGTTTTAGATGGTGGTCTAATGTTGATCGATTCATGATCACAATCAAAACAAATAACCTCCACAACCCTCTACTAATAATAATTTTATTTTAAACAATTTAATTCTGTCATAAGAATATTCATTTAAAACAAATTTCATCATACCTCTAGAATTTTTACTTTCGTCCAGTTATTTAAATATACGTTTTTTACAAGGGATAAATTATTTTCTGTACAATGAACAGGCAATTCTTCTTCGTCTATCATACAATCTTTTACAAATCTCTCATCTAAACAACTGAATTCATCTAGCAAATTTGACAATTCATTTAGAACTGTTGAAATCTGATTTGTTTCGATGAGTCGATTTCTTATAGCTGACTGGAAAATGGAAGGAAAATGCAAATAGTTAAGGTTTTACAGAAGATAACTCGTTAACTTTTGTAATGATAGGTATTGCATTCAAGCCTTATTGTAAGCTTAAACACTCGAAGCCAGGTAAATCCATTGATGAGTGTCAAATAGGAAAAACGCTCACCATGTTAGTTGCAACCCAACATTAATAAAAGTATTTAACTAAGTGCCAGTATTGTGGAAATACGCTGATGATGTACGTTTACAAACACAAACTGATCATTTGGAGTTCTTTACATCAACAATCATAAAATGCAAAGGCTTATAAATAGCTAACGTATTTAAATTCACTTGGTATTGTTTGGTTAAATTTTCCCATTGATGTTTAGGACTGCATTTAAACAGTTTCTTATTGGTATATATGCATACTGTGCGAACTGCCTCAATATCGCCTTCAGTCACAGACACCATAAGCTGAGATGATGATGGCTAGCAGTGGAATCCAGTTCGACGCGCGTTTCGTCCTATTTGGGACTCGTCAGTTGGATGTACCTGCTTACGTGTTTGTTTAGAGTAAAATTATGCCTAAACATATAGCAATTTAATAAAAAGACAAACAGATAGGGGCTGTACTATTGTAAGATCATATCGTAATTCTAAACCGAGTCATTTCCAATCTAGATCAATCAGTATAGTAATATTTTACAGTGCAATGATGATCACAAAACGGGAATTAATAAACATATATATGTTTTCATACTCTCTTCTTGAGCCAGATATACTGAAGTGAAGCGGGTTTCAGACTTGTAACCTGTTTGTTATCACTACCACTGAAAAAAAGTGAATTAGAACTTATCAGGTTGAGTTGATTCATAAGACATCTCAAGTAACACTTAATTGATCAAAATGGAAAGTAATCTCTGACTGGTGAAAAGCAAAATGTATAAAATATCTACTTCCGAAATTTTCAGTAGATTATCTAAAAATAATTTCTTTTCATAATAATACATACCGTAACTAGGAACCCTCAGTCTTTCGTTAACGATCGTTGTATATGTATATCGACACACGCGTATTGATATTTCACGTGTTATGAGTGCAAAAGATGAATACTAACTTAACATCAATGTATACAACTAACTTACTAGATAAACAGATGATTCTGTAAGAATGTTATTAAAATCATTTATAATTGTCATTATTTTCTGTTCAGTGTAATGAATAATTGATCTATGTAATGAAGTTTCATGTTCACGTTTATTGAAACAGGCCAGAAATGTTTGTTCAATACGATCGATTTTATTGTCTGATGCATAGTCTTCACTTAAATGGAATATTACATCTTTGAATTCATTGACGTCATTGAGGATACACTGAAACATTGGTAACTGGGAGAAAAGTTCAAGTCGATACAGCTAAATTGAAAAAAGAAAAATACCCCATGAAATCCCATATAATTTCAATAGGCATGATTTCAATTACAGACTAGGAATATAACAAATTTCATTAGGAAAATGTAATCTATTTCATTGCAACAACTTATGAGAGTAAGATGCCATGCGATAATTTCACGACTCTAGCAGTAACAGCTTGTAAAAGCTACCCATTTGACCTATAAAAAAACAGATTGGTGTTGTCTATAACTCACTGAATGCTGTTATTTTCCCGTTTATTAATGAGTACTACATGTTAGAGTACCGTTTTCATAGACTTGATTTCAATTCCTATATATATATATATATATATATATATATATATATATCTTTTTTATATAGAATGATAAACTGAATTACACTGGACATGTCCATACAAGACAGATGAAGATAACCTCAACCAAAAAATATATCAGAAGGTTGTGCTTTGGTTCTTCGAAATAAACTGACATGAATGTACAATAGAAAGTGTAAACATTAAATGCGAAACACTAACAACATTTAAGCAAACAGCTGAGATTATTCGTAAGGAATGTATAAGCAAAGATCCTTGAAACAACCTTGCCGAATAAGTAGACATTATTAGGTTCCAAGCAGAAATGGATGGTGGCTAGCAGTGAGAACCAGGACGTGCGTTCCGTCCTATTTTGGGACTCATCAGATGTTCACTCTGGGACTCCAACACAATATCGTTTGCTTCAAACACCATCGCGTTTTCCACCAGGCTATTGAGTCCTGATAGCCACTAGCTTGTGCAATGGGGTGAAGTTTAATTCACTTTGTATTGGTTGTTTGGATCTTCCCATCGATAGTTAGGACTGCAATTGATCAGCCTCCTATTGGTATATGTGCATTCTGTGCGGATTGCCTAGATATTACCTTATGTCACAAGCATTATAAGCAGAGATGGAGTGAATATCAACTCTGGAATGCAGGTGCATCCAACTGACGAGTCCCAAATAGGACGAAACGTGCGTCAAACTGGATTCCACTGCTAGCCATCATCATCTCAGCTTATAGTGTCTGTGACTGAAGGCGATATTGAGGCAATTCGCACAGTATGCATATATACCAACAAGAAACTGTTTAAATGCAGTCCTAAACATCAACGGGAAGATTCAAACTACCAATATAAAAATGAAACACCAAGGTCTGTTCAGTGTGACAGCATAACTGGGCTACTAATATATATACGATAATCTTGACTTACGGTTACATCATGTAAATGTGAGCACAGATCATTATTGCCACTTAAATTAGCTGACTTAACACTTAAGTGTTGAAATTTCACTTTCAATTTGGTCATTCTAGGATGTATTACCTGGAAAACAGAAAAAAAACAAGATGAAAGCACATAAACATTTCTATGTGACAATTGTAAGTGTACAAGTAAACATTTTGGCACAGAAATAAAATTCTATGTTTGATACGGAGGAACAAATTGAAATTTCCGAAGGCAAGTTAGGCTGTTTTTAGTGAATGATACACAAGAATACTACAAAAGTGAGAATGTTTTAAACAATTATTAAGTTACGTTTATGTCGTATTAAGTTTTTTCTTTACGCGTGGGGTCATGATAAAAAAGTCTTATTATCGTCTAATGTTTCTTCCTGAAATTTTAAGAAACTTTGTAAAAGCTCCCCAGCAATCTATTTAGTTATGATCAATGTAGGAAGTAAGGACATATATTCATCTGCTCAAAGAGATACGTCATATCAGGATATCGAGAAAAAATTAAAAAGATGAATATGGAAGTAATGCTTATTTTAATGGTGATAAAAAAGACTGCATATGAGAAATATGGCTCGAAATGAAGGAATTAATTTTCAGAATGAATAATTATAACAAAGACTCCAACCCCATGATCTGTATCAACAGAGAGGGTTTAGTCTAACGGTCAATGAATTCATGGGCTAATGACAATTTTTTCACTGAGAGAGAGAGAGAGGGCTTCATCTCAATCCAATCTAAAACTATCCAGTATTATGCGTAAAGGTAGGCACAAACTGAGTGGTATAACAAACAATCTCGATTTTATTAATATTTATTCATGATTGTTCGATTAAAAAGGTATTCAACCCAATGAATAAACACAAGCATCAGTTAAATAATTCATCTATACTTGATCTTATCAAATGAAAACTGGTTTATTTTCATTTTCTGTAGGAAACAAAAATTTCACAATCCAACTTACTGATAACCATATAGCAAGACGTTGTGATAATTCATAACTAAATAATAGTTGTTCACGTTGATTTTTTATATGTTCCAGAAAATTGATCACTTCATCATTTACCTTAGTTTGTTCATACCATAAAGGAATATTGAAATATGTTAGAGATATGTTATTTTGTTCAGAATTTATTGAATCTATCAATTGGTTATTTTCGATATGCGTAATTTCAGATGGAAATGTGTCATTTTCATCATCAAAGTTAAAATTCTGTAGTAAATAAAGACCTGGATTAGTAGAATTTGTTTCATCAGTTAATTCTTGAAGCTTGTCAATTACTTGCTAATAAAGAGAAGTTGAGAAAAAAACACATAGACAAAAGAAGCGACAGTTAATTACTTTATTCAGAGATTTGAAGTAAGATTACAACACTAGATTGTATTTAAGATGATTAATATCACTAAGTTCTACATAAGGAAGAACACCTTGGGGTTTAATTGCATCAGAGATTAAGAAACAATATTTCTGAACTTAGATTTGCAGGACAGAATAGAACACACCATGGTTCAGTTAAAGCTTCTTTTGAATGTAATTAGATGTAGAGCCGTGGTACTGAAGAATGACATCATATGAAGTTGTTATTGAAAATTTAAACAACAATACTGTTTGCTCTAACTGAATAGACATGTTGACAATAGCGATCACCGATATACATGTATTCAAGGAATAAATAAACTCATGATTTCAAAAACTGTGAAATTTCTAAAATTCTCCACAAAACCCATTCTGATAATAATAATCAACTGCTCACTAGTGACTGACTTCAGGAAAAACTCCTGAAGTCCTAGTGAGGAGCCGTTACCAGTGGAGTTCAACCAGGTCTGTTGTGAGATAACAACTCACTGAAGACAATGGTGTACGGTGGCGCAACTTCGTGGATTGGTTGAAGTTAGACATTAACACCGTTGGATGCCGGCTCAGTGGTCTAGTGGTTAAGTGCTCGCGCGCGAAGCCAGTAGTTCCTGGGTTCGAGCCCCGCGTGGTGCGGGATCGTGGATGGGCACTGCTGAGGAGTCCCATACTCGGACGAAACGGCCGTCCAGTGCTTCCAGGTTTTCAATGGCGGTCTAGCTTCAACTGACTCATGATTTCAGAAACTGTGAAATTTCTAAAATTCTCCACAAAACCCATTCTAATAAGAATAAATAATACTCTATTCTCACTTCACCATGGAAGAATTTGACAGATCTTATTAGTATTGAACATAACCTTATTCAATACAATTCTCTAATAAACGCTCAAGTTTTTTTCAGAATAGAGACACATTCGAGCAGAATCACACAAAAATCCGTATTAAAGTACACTGATTTCATTTCAGAAAATCCTAGAAAGAGTAAAATCATTAAAATAAGAAAGATATTAAAATGAAGAAATCTATGAAATTTTGATAGTCGCTAGACTGATATCGATTAAGTAATCCAATATTAGTAGTACTTTTGAAAGATTTTTATCATAAATCATGAATTTCAATAACTATAATACCAATTCAAAACTTTCTGTTTGCTGGAATGATAATGGTTCTTCCTTTTTTTTGAATACATGACGGAATATCAGCACATCCTTCAGTTACAGTAACAAACTTTTATTCAAGTCAAAATTAATAAGAGGCCGGATAAACAGTTTCAACAAAACAAGTACGTCTATAAATATAAGTAAACTAATAAAAGAATTATTCTGACTGGAATAAGGTTTTTGGATGAAGTCTGATACAACGCTGTAGGTTCAATTGATTTAGGGAAAACTAATGTACTACTCGTTCTATTAATTGAATAATTCAGTTATCAAAATTTACTTGGTTTCGTAGGCAAAACTACCGTGAACTTCAAAAGAGAAGATAATAAAAACTTTAATTAAGAGCATAAAACACTTTTTCAATAACCACGTTTCTTAAGTATGAAATTGAGATACACTAAACTATTTTTCAAAAAGCATTGAAATTTATAGATGCACAATGTGAAAGCAACATTTTTATTAATATTATGTCCCGATAAGCATAATGAATGGTAACTTTCGGGATCCATTTGTGGACCAATACTATACGTCTATTTTTATTGTATAATTGTTAAATAACTAAACTATTCATATTTATATCCCTCTTATTATGAGATTTATTTTGACCGATGAACTATTATTCTAGGATTTACTCTTCTTGAATTATTCCCTGTCTATTAATTACTACCTCCCTCATTCACAGACACATTTGGCCAAATCTTGTATAAATGTTATTTTCCATTTTATGATACGATGTGTTCTGTCTGGTTGGTATATAAACCCAGTATGCTTGAAATAAATGATTCATATCACACAAGCTGAAATCGATGTTCCGGACTTAACTGGCTGGGCTAGGCAGGAAGTAGGACCGATAAGTACTCTAGACTGCTCGCATTGGTTTTACACGTCATTGGTTCGATCGACAATTCACTGCTCTCTAATTGGCAGTATCATTACGTATACATTAACAAGGCGTACATGCCATAAATTATAACAATTAACTAAATAAATTACAATTGAATAAAGCAATAACAGTAATATTACACACATAAATGCACTATTTTTGCATTGATACCTTTCAAGGTAAATAAATTTGTGATTACATATTTACTTATAATATATTGAAGTGACAATTCAAACTTACATTTGTTTCAGATAATTGTTTTTTAATTAAATGACCACATGTTTCAAATATATTAGTTACCAATTCAGCTTCGTTTTGAGAGAATACGCTACGTTGAAATAAATCGCTTGATTGTTTAAATGTAGACTAAATCGTGAAGTAAATTAATAAAATTACATTTATTATTAATAACCACCATGTTTAGAGATGATACACAAACAAATATAAGTAAGCATCAAATTACAAAACAATAGTGAAAAAAAGAGGCAACGGTAATTAATAGAAATGACATCGATTTTTATAGAAAATATATGAAGATATAAACATATGAAGATATGACCTATAGAAAGGTGTAGAAACCCACAATAAGTTCGTAAGCTAGCACTAAGTAACATTATGTGAGTTCATTTAAGGAAATGAATTTTCATGAGATGTTCAAACACATCTCAATTTTACAAAAAATCGAATTCGAACGATCATGTTACACTAAGAAAGACCTGATACATGAAACTGGTCACTATTCAGTGAGTATGCCTTAGTCTTGTAAGAGGTTAGTCGTGATCCGAATAGTTCAATAGTAATGCCTCTGATTGCTAAGCTACGTAACATAAGATCGTCTCTGACAGGGAGTACCAGTTCCTTCTAGACTACAGGTACACCTTACTGATATGTGCCAAATACTATGAAACTTATGTTCACGGTTTCCCGTCGACTAACTTCAAGCAATACTTCACACTTCACTACCGATGTTAAATTTATCTCCATTTCTGATTAGTCCTAACTTGCGAGGAATATTTTCCTAAATAAAGACTAATATCTACTACGTCTTTTATTGCAATCAAAAGTTGAGAAAAATTTCATACTGTAAAGGAATATTTTAGACCAGGTATGCAAAATAAGAGAAAACGGAACGCATGAACAAAAAATTCAAGAGACTGTACATTTCAAACTTATTCCGAACTTACTTTTAGAGCATTCAACTTTGCTTGAGCATACTCTATTTGTTGACTGCTCATTCGCACTAGTTCAATTTCCTTAATTGTTTGATTTAATTTGTCAGTTACATCAGACCGTAATTCGCTCACTTGACTCATCCTATTCTTTACCAGGTCATCATTCATTATATTACAACAGGATAATTTAAGATTATCTAAAAAAGTAAAATCAATTTACATACTAAACAGAATATAACCATCGAGACACAAAATACAAAAAAACTGGTTCAGAAAAGAGTTCTCTTTTCAATGAATTCATTTTCAATACTGTATAATTGCAAATGTATACTTGAAAAGCAAGACCTAACATATTGAGATAAAACGTTGAAATCGAGATAAACTATAATCAGTAAGATCATGGAAACAGAAACAAATCAGCTGTGGGTAAAAGGTCTATAGAAAAAAGAAGAGAACAAAATGACTCTGGAAGTGAAGAACTTATGAGAGAGTAAGACCATGGTAGAAGAAGAGGTTGTACAAATTTCTTTCGTACAGATAATTCTGGTCTATTTAGATGTATAGCAAGTGCTTTAGTAATGTTAAAAAGGCAGAGGCTAACTGTTTTTGACAGCTTTCTACTTATTTTGTAGATGACTTCGAACACTGAGTTTGTTTTGCTTAAATGGTCTGTTTTCACAAGGTGTTTGATTATTATACTTCTTATTGAGCCATTTGTCACCTCTTTTCACCCACCTCGAATAATGTTATTAAATAATTTTGGATAAAATACGCATCGAAGATCCTAAATACCTGGCTCCATACGAACTAGTAATTTAGAAAATGCATATGGAATTGTTCAAATGAGATAGTTTATCCAGTAGACTGCTAGTGAACAATTGCTGGTTGGGAAACACTAATCCCAAAATTGTGGTGAAGAACGTTCTCATGAGAGAGTCGGTAATTCTCCTCTTCAGGATGTCTGTGACCATATCACCTTTGAAATGGAGGTTACTAAGAGTTTCCCATCTTCAGAGATTATTTTGGCTTTAAGAAATTCGAGTTTTATGTTCTTCCCAATAAATACTGATGGATGCCCGTTTTTGATAAGCATTTTTAAGGAAGTATAGTTAGATATCGATGACCTCAGTACCACAAATTCTTCGTATCCGGGTAGCGGGGGATATAATTAAGTTTCGCTTTCGACCAGTGAGAACCCAGATGTAAAAGCTTGTAAAAGCTTCCACAATAATTTCTTGTAAACAGATCTACTTGGATCTCCCTCTGTCTACAGAAAGCCCTTGTAGAATGGTCACTCTTTGAACAAATCCTTCAATTTATATACGCAACATTGAATTATATAGAAAATCAAACACCAGAACATTCCTACTGAAAATACATTTAAGTAGTATAATATAGATATCTTAAAAATATGACATCTGAATTAGTATTTATAGTGTAAGAACAATTACATCAACGAAAACTCAGTTCTTCACAAACTCCATACAATGTCTATAACATAATAAGCAGCAAAAACTTGAGTACAAAAATATCCACCTTTCCAAAGATATTGCATCCAATATTTTTGGCTGCTAACAAATAATGTAACAAACATGAGTTGATTCACTACATTTATGATAAAACGGCGAAAACAATTTCGACATTTCATATTTACGATACCTCATATTTCGATAAAATTAGTAAGATGTATTCAACCTCTAAAATATCTAAATTCGACAACTGTCAGGTATTTTAATTTATTGTTTTATCTTGGTTTAGCTACTGAGAAACTCTTTCATACTTTATCTATTTTCAGAGAACAATGAACATTCAATGAGATACCAACCTTTCAATCTTTATACGACTGTTTCAATGATCGCTCATAGATCAACATTTACACTTGTCATTATTTGTTGTTCATAGTATGTAAATACGTAAGTTTAACAGACATTAGCAAAACACAAAATTCATTGTATACTGATTTAATGAATTCATATTCTTTTTATCAATAGTATTGATATTAACCATTATTTAAAGAAAAAGAAAAGCGCACTGTATGAATTAACTCACCTTCTAAACAATCTATTTTCTTTAAGATATTGTTCAGAATTATTACTTCTGTATTATGTCTTTCATTGGAATCACCACTGTGAATAATTGTTTGAGATAAATTATTGGCTAGTAATGTTTGTCCATTCAATTGATTCTCATCATTCAAATGGGAATAATCACGAACAACTGACCAAGAATTTGTCAAAGATTCATTTAATAATTCTTCATATTGTTTGTCGAATTCATTAAAATGGTGTTGATAATTATTAACTGATGGTATACAAGCGTCCTATAATTAGTAGGGAAGTAAGAACATATATATATATATAGAGAGAGAGAGAGAACGTTAAAGTGATTTTCTATATGCTTTGCCACTAACTGTCATAAGTTAAGTACTGTAAGCGAGCCACATTTGTTACAGAACGAAAAGTAGTAACTGTAATCACTTGTCGAAAGAGGAAGTAAGTAATATTCAAGCCACTTTATGGGATCGTTTCAGTATTTAATCCTGTTTTACTAGATGCTAATGATCTATCGGGTATTGCAAAGTCATCTGTTCTGATATTTATGGATAGATTGAAATATGAAGAACTAGATAAAATAATTATAAGATAAAGTTATAGGTTGGTTTGGTTGTCCTCATTAGAAACGAACATTGGCAAACATTATGTCATAGAAAAAGATCATAACGGCGATTATTCGTATAATTAAATAATAAATATGATACCCTTGAATATTGTCAAAGATTATCGGGATTTATAGGTTGTTCTAACACATAAGACAAGAACTAAGACAAACTGCATAGTATAAGCTCCTAAAGCCTTACAAGATCTAGTAGATGCATACATGTAATCCAAGCCTAGCGTTCTATGAAAGTTGATATCAGTGTTGTCAAATCCTACCGTATGTGTGTAGATTTCATGAAAAAGGATATTGATATAGAAAATGAATTTACTTAGTCGGTATAATTATCGCTTATCACTTCAAATAAACCGACCTATGCACAATAATAGGTCAGTTTCAAAAACTGAGCAGGGTATAATAATTTAACTTGAAATTCATAATATATGGTCATTGAAAAGGATGTCAGTAAACTTAATATAACTAGAAACAATTCCGAATCATGTATATCTAATGTATCCAGTGTATTCTCACTTACAGGTAATTCTTGAGGCACTAACTTTTGTCTTGTACTTGTATGAATAATCAACTGATCATATTCAGAGATTATCTTTTGAATTTCTGAAATAAAATACAGAAATCTTTGTGATGTTGTATCAATAGGATCCAGTAGTTTTGACAAATAAATACTGGTCGTTATTGTGTTGACTGGCATTGTTGTTGATGACGTCATCGTCTTTGAATAATCTTGACTGTTGTCAGTGGATTTTATCACTTCATCAATTGAAATTTGAATTTGTTTGACCATATTTACAAGTTCATCAATAATAGTTCGATGATTATTTTGAACATTTTCCAATAGTTCCTATTCATATTTAGACAAAAATCAATAAATAAAGTGGAAAAAGCTGTAGAACTGTTGGTGAAAACAAATGATTTATTTCTAAACAAGAAATCCATTGCTAAGAAGGAAGATTTATAGCTTAGAAAAAACAAGCTCACCAAGATGCCTTCTGAATAGTTCTCTGCTTTATTATATATATTTTTTAATTGTTTAATAGACATTAAACACGGTACAATTGGACAGGGAAATTAGTATGCGCTACACAGTTATAATACATGTGTGGGCGGCGACACTACCCGAGCGTCTAAACCAAAACAGGCGGTTTTCTTAAGGGGATATACCCAAGCCTTTAATCCAGAGGTCTAATTCACAAGGCAACGGAATAGCATTAAGAAACGCTGTCTCGTGATAACCGAGAACCAAAAATAGATTTATGAGTTATTTGTTCCATCAGGACCTTGGAGCCCATGGAAATCGTTGGTTTTGAATTTAACTTTTTCAGGTGGACTACTCGTATTCACCAACCTGATATAAGTGTCAGACGTTCATTATTTGTCTTTACGCTTCATAAGTAAGAACTCCGACTTTGTAAAGGTAATAAGTAGAGGACAAAATTCATAGCTCAGGATAATGATGGAGTTGTTGTGATTTCTGTGCTAAAACAGCATACATTATACTACCACCATATACTTCACAATAAAGTAAACAAAACCGTCAACTAGATGTTACTCAGACTGAAATATTAGGGAGAATTTTTGTGAAATAATAAAATACATTGAACTGTTGTAATGCTTGCGAATGAGGCTAAGAACTTTATTTCATAAAATTTCTTAATATTAGAGGAACTGTATCAGTTTGCCATTAAGGTTGCTTGGAGATAGTGGGTAACTAAAGTGTCAATGGGGCCCAGATGAACTATCTCTTAAAGTATTCTACTCATTAGTTCAATCACCTGGATTGAGAGTGAATAGCAGTCCCGTATTTTCCCTAGACGGTTGCACTAACAACCGGATCTTTAATATCCATTTCCTTGACAATCTGAACAGATGTACTTTTTACCTACCGCTACTGTCTTTTCCATCTCTTCTGCTGTCACTAACCACCACTACTCATCATCAATAGTTAAGCTTTTTATCAGCCTGTGTTTTGGCTGCCTATGCTCCTCGTGTCCGGAACCAGATGGTATGAATTTCCGAGTATCTATCAGTTTTGTAGACGCCACTGAAATCCACTAATTTTTCCTAACTTTTTGGTTTAAGTTAGCAGTAAATATCACTACTGTTTCCACAGTTTTTTGGATATCATGCCAAGCTATTTCTGGATGGGTATCCTTTTCCCGGTTAACCAGCTCCTTTAGTTGTTTCTGAAATATATTCTCAACTTTTCCATCGTTCATTTGAACTCCAATAGGTTTTCTTACTGTGGCTTTTCTATGTTCATTAAGGTGCAAACAAATACGTGCTCGAACTAGAGCATGATCCGAGTCTAAACATATGCTCTAGAATGAGCAACGGTCTTCAATCTGATCCCATCAAAAATGACTAAAGGCAATGCGATTTGAAGGCCATTTAAATAAAGGACAAATAAACATAAAATAATTGTAAATATAGTAGAGAAAAAATTAATGTGATATCAAAAGTATAAGGATTCGTTACGCTTCGTTTATGTTTACTCTACTCTCCTTTTCAAATTTACACTTTACTCTCCAATCATCGGAACACTTATTACGTAATTTTGTCATTTTAATAAATCTTATTTCAGCGTCAATTTTTCCAAGACACTGACCTTTTTCCTATTATTAACATTGATTAGAGCCTTTGTCATTCTTATCGCAATTAGTAGGTCAGTGATCACAATATAAGTTTGTACTTTTTACTTATTATGTTTATTTATGTAATCTATTCCATTGTTATCTGTGACTCATAACCTGGCTTTATTGGTCTAATAATTGAATATATGTATGTTTTGATGGAGTTTTGTTCTCTGAGCTCGATGGTTTGGTCATGGAGCTTTCATTGTTCTTCTGAACGACGTCATCAGCACAAACTTCAGATAGAAGTGAAGTGTTCGAATTTCTCCATATGTGTTTCACAACTTTGTAAGAAGCAGTTTCCTACAGATGTAACTCCAAGCTATTCTCTAGACTGTCGAGCACAGAGTCTTGGTTTGGCCAGAACAAGTAAGCTATTTGGTTTGATAAACTTGATCACTTTCAACTCGTGTACGCTCGATGCGTTGCACTCAATCAACAGTTTGATATTCTCGTCCTCTACTCTAGGAAAACTTATGTCTTTTAAATGAGTCCAGGATGCCATTTGATGCGCCGTTGGCACAGTCCTGTAAATCATCTAGGCAACTGATTAGCTTGTTTTTAGACTGCGTGTTCACAATGATTATATATACTAATCAGTGGTTACTAAGTACAACTTTCGGCGTTGTACACCAACATACTTGAAATTTATTAGTAACTGTGTAACTTTATACTTTTTTCTGCTTCCAGTTATCAGGACTGTATTGGTTAGCGTCTATTGGCATATGGACTCATCAAATGAATGCCTCAATTTTGCCAGCATTTACAAGTTGATTATCGTTTGGATGGTAGTTACTAATGGAGTTTGAGAACCACATTAAGTCCAGTCTCTAACTCACCGGTTGGATGTATCTGTATTTCAGTACCGATGTTCAATGAGCTCTTCAGTCATAACAGCTATCTAGAGGATAACGTACTGTTAATCCAATGAATGAATACTAGGTTAGACTTTCAGTGAGAACCTAAAACATCAGATAACTCCAGCTAACGAATCCTAGAATAGGATGAAATGCGTGTTTTTGATCCCAAAGCTAGCAGTTATTTGAAATAAAAAAATCTGGAAAACAAAATCTTAGAAGTAAAACTGAAAAAAAATCTTTTTCTAGGTAGAATTCAATCTTATTTTGTCCTAACATCGAGTATATCAAAGCCATGTGATGTAAGTATTAACAATAAACATTATACTATGGTTTGTATTATTTTGTAACTGACCTTTCATCCTGATGACCTTTTGGCAAACAAAAAATTTTTCACATTTAATACCAGTGTAGGTAGTTTATGTTAATAAACCGATTATGTTCTTTAGTTAATTAATTTAGTTAGTTACTCCGTGATGATCAGTCTGATCTATTCTCATTCCACAGTTTGTGACTCATTCTCTTTCATGTTTAAATCCTTTGTTTAAAATCAATTGCATTTGCAAAGTACATGCACGTCTGGACATGTATGACATGAATGTCGTTAATTTCACACTGTATGGGAAAGAATAAATTCTTCCCATCTAAAATCTATGTGAATTTTCACAATTTTCATTTACGGTTACTCATTAAAATTGAAAATAACTTTCATCTTTGGGTTACTACCATTCTTGATTGTAACAGAACCTATCATCCAGGTGTTAATTACGCCTAAACTACAAAGAATTGTACTCGATTGTCAATTATAAAGAAATTGGCCAGTAAGCTAGTTTGTTTGAGTCCAGTTTATAGAACAAAATAACAAATTTAAGGAAATGTTTAACTTCACACAGATAGATCACCGACAAGTGGGATGAAAGGTGTTACAATAAACATGAAGACTATACAGGAACAAATAACTTAAACTTTTATCCTCAGAGACTGTTAATATGTATATCCACTTGAATAAGGCTGTATATTGATACAATCTTATTCATATTGTTTGGATGATGCCTCACTTAGTCAACTAATTTCCTGGAACTCATTATACTCAGTGTAATCGACATAAAATTTTGAGAACTAGATGATGTGACCTTTTTACATTGAATCCTGTTAAAAGTAACTGGTCGGTCGATTTATTTATTTGAACACATAAATACTGGTACAAAGGGGCATCGAATACATATGCGCAACACAAGTCACTTGATTTGTACGTGGGATGTGATACTACCCGGGTGCCCAGACCAAAGTAAGTGGTTTTGTAAGGAAACCACACCCGGAGCTTTCGACCTAAAGGTCTGAACCACAAGGTAGTGGAGTAACGTTAGGAGGTGCAGTCCCGTGATCCCCTAGGTGGATCTTCCATACCCATTAACCCGGTTAAAGCGCTGGACATTCGCTTTTCATCCTCTCAATTTCGTAAACACCCCCGCTGCGAGAAGACAATGAGTAGGACTCCCCTGGTAGTGGCTGTATATGCGTGGCTATTTGAGAGCATTTCGAGAGGAAGAGCGGGCTCTCCTTACGCTCGACCGTACCAGGGCATTCGGGGCTAAATAACTCAAACACATTATCTGTAAACATCATGATAATGATGTCGAAACATACACCACTAGTTCTACTGAGAACCATCAGGGTCCTATGTAATACAGTATAAAAATTTTGGTGGAGTTTTGTTCTCTGAGTTGGATGGTTTGGTCGAGAACAAAACTCCACCAAAATCATCCACCTGAGCTACAAATCTTCTCCACCATCTCAGTATAGAAATTTTCAGAGTTCAGCTTATTATAGGTTTCGCTAGCATCGTCAGAGGTACTCGAATTCAGGACGATATATTTGACCTGATATTATCAGCAACAACCTATTGTAGGGGAGAACCAACTTCCGACTGAAAAGGAAATTAGGAAAACACGTTGGAAGTGGATAAGACATAAATTCCAGAAATCACCAAACTGCATCACAAAGCAAGTGCTAACTTGGGATCCTAAAGAGAAATGGAAAAGAACTCCAAAGAACACACTGCTCCGAGAATTGGAAGCAGAGATCAAAAGGACGAATAGCAACTGGAAACAAGAGGAAACGATTGTCCAGGACAGAGTTTGATGGAGAATGCTGTCGGGTGGCCTATGCTCCTCCAGGAAAGTTAAAAGGTATAAGTAAGTAAGTAACTTCTCCGGCTGTGACATGGGTTCGAATCCCACTGGAAGCACCAGTCTTTCAGGTACTCATTGTTAAAAAGAGATACAGCTACCTGCCGACTGCATCCAACTAAGAAACACTGTACTCAAAGAATCCTATTACATTAGACACAGCATATGAGCATTGGTATCGAAAGTGTATTTCTTGATAATAAATCTCCGCTAAGAGTCTAAAAAGGTCAACTAACTAAAATCAGCACAAATATTTACATAAACTTACCAAACACTGTTGTTTTCCAGTACATAGATTTTCTAACTTTTCATAAGTAATTAGAGCACATTCTACATTTTCATTTTGTTCATCGTCGTAATTAGTACTTTCACAATCCTCCTTACTATCCTTGTCACTAACCTTGATAGATATTGCCAGTTCTCGAAGTAATTCTACTTGATTTTGAATAGTACTAATGTAAGTCAACGCATGATCAATTGTCTGATGATATCTGTCCATAGTCGGTATGTAGAAAACAGATAATTGTTGATAAATTTGTGTAAAATAACTAAGTAATTGTGTTAGATGTTGATTAACTTCATAGAATTTTACAATTTGATCACTGATTCCAATATTATTTTCATTATTAGTAATATTAGTAGTATCAGTAGTATTAGTAATAGTATCTGTAAATAAATTAAGTCGATCTTCATTCATAATGATTGGTTCAATATATTTATGCAACCAGTCAATTTCACCTTGAATAATATTGATATGATCCTGTTATTAGGAAAAAAAGAATGAAAATTGAAGTAATGTAAAGATGTGAAATGAATTACCAAAAATATATAATTAGAATGGTTATATGCTAATCTATTTCTTTCTGCAATAATTAAACGTCTATCGTACAAGCAATCCAATAATACAGTTGTGGAAATCTAGTAGCTACGACCTTCGTAACTGTTGGTATTTATCAAATACTCCAGGTGTATTTGTAAGTTTAAATAAATCTGCACATTCAGAAACACGTTTTTCAGAGCCTTGCAAGAAGACGTTACCTCAAGCTGGTAAGGCCATAACATAACTAAGATATCTCCTCTGTTTCTGATATGAAGTGATAAAAATACATTATTTAAGTAAACATTTCTTGAATCGATTAAGCATAAACTTCGTTCAGTATGATATATATATTCTCTGAATCAATTCAGGTAAGCTATATTGTACGTGTGCTTCTACAGTAACTCTATGTATCTAGTATTCTTGTGTGCGAAAACTAGCATAGAAATTATTCTAGTGTCTTTCGTCTTCATACTCTGCAGTGATTCCCGATTGTCAAGTAAAAGCAGTAAGACTAAACGGAGTCGACACATCTATTAAGAGATGATGCAGATATAAAAATTTCAAATAAAATCTTATGGTATGCTAAAACATAGCGAACATAATTTTATCATTAACGTCATCTCGTTATCAACGTCTTCCAGTAGAGTCCTAATCACCAAAACAGGTAGAAGGTTTGAACCCCATTCTATCTTCATCACTTCAGCTGGGTGGCTAGTATAACTTATCTTTAACACAAAGACTGTGGCTCAAATCAGAGTACAAAGAGGAAAATTAATTTAACATCATAATTAACAAGATAGTTGATGAAAATTTTCCAGTATATATGATTTAAACAATTAATTGATAAAATGAAATGATAACTACTTCTAATAAACATATACTTACTGAAATGATATTTACGTGACAATGAAGAGAATTCGAGTTGGGTAAATTACCATTTGGAAATAAAAGTTCAAATGATTGTAAAGTCGGTAGACAATGAAAAGTTGATGTTAAGTTTCTAGTTATTTGTTCATATGATCTAGTGATCTTAAAAGTGGAATCAAAAGATGAAATAATATGTAGAATTAAAAAATGTGCATTTTAATAAAAACAAATGACAGGTCGATCAATTAGAAATGAATAGATCATATAAATATTGCATTACTTGAAGTTAGCATTCTTTGAGATAGTTGACAGTGAAACAAACAAACAATCAAATTGAAATATGAAAAAAAAAAACACCAGAATAAACGAATAGAAGGAAGTTTCAGTAAGAGTGAGTTGCCGTTGGAACTCAATTATGTAAGCTAGGAATGAGGCAGGCACTATCCATGACAGAATAATCATGGTCGAGCTGAAGCGTAAATTAAATGAAATTGAAAATTTGCCCCACTTGATACTACCTTAGAGATCTAGAGGAACTTAGTTTTACCTTTGAGAAGGACTCTGGGTGTGCATTGTCCAGGAATTCCATACGAGATCAGAACCGCTATTTAGTGCTGCCTGGTTCCTATTGACTGTCTAGCTCGGGTCAGTCTGTGGTGCAAACTATCTTTAAAAAAAGTGAATGTTGGTAACCGGAGATAAATAAACACTAGAAAATAAATTTAATAATAGAAGTTAAGGAGTAATTGAGTTTGTACGACAAGTTTGGGATACGTTTAATATCCTCTAACTTGAAAACGAAACTTCTAGAAACAGTTAATAACGTAGTTCACTGGTAGTGTGAATGGCCTAAAAGTCCGGACAATCATCATTAATATAGGACTTATAAAGATCTGAATCAGTCACAATTGATTGATCACTGGGTGGTGATCAATCTCATGCTTGTCTAGTCCTTATTAGTGCAGATCGAATGCTATCGATCATGTTGCAATGTGGCCACCAGTCTAGGTGACTCGGCACTGCGGGCACTATGTATTGAGATTAGATGGTGGTTGGAGGTAGTCAACAGGAAACCCTGGACCCGGGTTTCGTGCTACTTGGCACTCGTCAGCAAGGTGTACCTGTAATCTTGAGGGAACTGGTGCTCCCTGAATCCGCCAGGGAGCACCAGTTCCCTCAAGATTACAGGTACACCTTGCTGACGAGTGCCAAGTAGCACGAAACCCGGGTCCAGGGTTTCCTGTTGACTACCTCCAACCACCATCTAATCTGAATCAGTCCATTCTTTCACATTATGTCCATGTATTGGGAAGCCAATAGCAATACGAAAAGTGGGTCCAAATAATAATATTAACAGTAGCAGGAAACTTAACGTAGATAATATAGTTAAAAAGATATCACAGAGAAATAAAATGTAAGGGATAATAGTAGACTCAAAAGTGAGCAGACACTAAAAATGAATCCATCTTTTGTCGTCTGTTTAGCACATCTATTGAGCAATAACCAAAGTCCCATAGATTTGTTTATTCTGGTCAGCGTTTTTTAGCAAGGATGCTGACCCCATGCCCAACCCTCCTCCTTTCCGTTGAGATCGGTAGTAGCCCTAGTAGGGTTATAGATGTAGTGGAAACAACTGGAAAGGATTGTCCAGGACAGAGTTCGATGGAGAATGTTGGTAGGAGGTCTATGCTCCTTCACGAGGGGTAACAGGCGTAAGTAGTAGTAAGTATAAGAGATTCGGAAAAACGACCAAGCATTTGTTTTCCATCTTTTCAAATCCTGGTAATTGTTAAACTTCTAATTAAAATCATTTTAAAATAACCCGAAATCATCAATCAATATATCGCTTAACTTTCTACTTAATTGTACAGTTATTTTAAAAGAACAGAAATATAATTTGAGCAATAAATATTTACAATTACTCAATCAATTATTTGTCCCAAATTTTTATGCTGCACTAAGGTCATTAATTACGGTTAGTTATCATAAGAACACGCCCCAAACTGTACAATATAAGTTATAATCGTTTACTTAACTGAAATAAAATTTGATTAATATCTTGACGTTTGAACACTACCCGTGCTTGTTCGATTGTTCAGTTTTTCTAAAGTAAGTCGAAATTCATCATCATGTTTGCCACTTGTTTGATCTAAGTACTCATGATCCAGCTCAGAAAACAAAACTCTATCAAAGTCATCCACCTGAGCTACAAATCTTTTCCACTATCTCAAAGTATCATTCCACTGTGCTTAGAGTTGTTAAACTTAGACATTGATGATAGACATTATTAATGGGTCAGTCATTCAATTAATCATAAATATGCGTTCACACCTGTCTCCATACCACATTAGACCCATAAGATAAAATTAATAAAATGAATATCAAAGAAATTGAAGTAGTTTTGATAGTGAGAAAGACTAAATATTGAGATTATGTTTCGAGAAGACAAAATGAGAAGATATGTATGAGGGAATACCAGAGCTTAAAATCTACAGTAAGATATAGAGTGAATCTATTTTACTATTAATTATTCTGAGCTATGTCACACAACCCCAACTACTGATCGCAGTTTTAACGCGTAACCCAAATAAGTAGTCTGAATCTACCAACATAGCCCAGATCAACAGTTCATTAACTGATATAAACTGATATAACTCGAAAATTTTGGTCTAATTTGAGTCATGTCTTATCAGTGACGTTATTTTTTAAAATATTATTTACAATTGGTACTGCGAACTTGAAATAATTGCGCACGATAGACAGCTAAATATAGGACATAGTACTCTCACCTAAACATAGGTTTATTCAAGCTTGAATTTATTAAGCTCTTTAATTAAAATATTCAATAGATAGTGCCATTTGTGTCAGTAATAATTTGGTTATATCTTTATACTATTATCGCCATGCTTCTATGATCATGTATACTTGGTCACGTGTTACAGTCTACAAACATATTCCTCTTACTAGTAAAAAATGTTAGTTACACGAATTGCTCGGTGATTCATTCGCTTGCTTATATGCATGTGCTTCTTAAATCCCATTCATTCGCTCGTTGACATTTACACCTCTATTCGTATTCGCTTAGTGATCTGCGCTGTACAGTAATAAACTGTAGTCAGAGCTTCGTATTATCTTCTGAAATGCACACATGATTGAGAAGTTATCTGATAATGATTATCTGGATGAGTGATATATGAAGCATAGGAATTATTTCGAGGAGATTCCACTATAAAACACAGAATTTTACAAACTTATACTTCCATTACAAACAGGCTTTAACTACCATAAGTAGCCAATTAAAATGTTGTTGCTTAGATGATTTGGTTCCTTGTACACAATCAATTTGTATACAAAGTTAATATTTAAGCTTAAATATTTATTAGCTTTAATCAACCGACAAAATAATTTATTCAAAGTTGAGACAGAAAAAATTAAATATAATACACATGAGTATTAAGGGCATAGTATCAAACTAAATTGAATATTACCACTAAGTTGTTAGAAAAACATTTCATATTGTGAACTAAAGTGTTACTTAGCACAATATCTATATATGGTCAGTAAAATTTAATCCACTATGTTGTTCACCATTTGATAAAAAGTTCACACTTACTAAGATTGTGCTTTGTAATTGTATTAAGACTTATGATATTAATTTATTATCATGTCTTCATGTGCTGCGTGTATTGATCCTCTCATATGTAATAATACTAAGAATTTTAAGAAAGATACCAAGTTCCATGTACATTTGATGTGGACAAGTAATCGCTTTGTTCTAATATTTTATGTTTTACTGGGACTGTCAGTTTAAGAAATGGGATCATCAGTCAAAGCAAGTGGACTATGAACTCAGTGCTTCTACGAAATCTATCTGTCAAGAGAAATTAGCTTAATCAGAATGTTAAATAAAGACAGGTAGGTCGTTTTCTGTACAAATATATACAGGTTCAAGTAAGCCTACTTTACATCTACATAACATTGGATAGATTAATCAACAAAAGAGGGGAAAGAAAGTATCAGACAAGGAACTTGAAATTATAAAATTATGGAAATAAACGTTAAATGAATGGGTGGAGATGTTAGCGATAAACGACAATGTTAAGCCGTTAACATAAACAACACATATTCATTCATGGATAATATTTTTACGAATTACACCAAGGTGATGTTCCAAAGAAAACACTAAGCATGTGTTTTTTCCTAGTAGGCATCTAAGAACTCACCGAATATCGACCTCAGGAATGCTTAGGTCTTGCAACAGGCTCTTGATATTTAGACCCCTGAGTTGAAATCCAATGATTTACACTTCTGATTTTAATTGTTATGATCTAGCTTGTATTTGGAAGGTATATTTCAAAGGTAATTTTCATTATGAACTAATGCCATACAGCAAAAATCAAGGGACATTGGATAAATACTTTTTTCTAGTTTACAACCTCGGAGCAGTATGTGCTCGCTATCCAGTACACGGGGCATAACCCAAGACTAAGTTTTAAGATAAAACATATTGTCCAATTCGTCATTGGTTCTCGATAGATTCCCTAGCTCTCACAAGTTCGTTATTTAAAAATTACCTTTACGAATATGGATCATTATGATTATTAATGAAAAATAAACTCACCAATTTATGGAATTTTCTTGGCATTAACTCTTTAGTTATTCTGTCCCATAAATTAAGAATATTCACTGATAGGTATACATTATCTTCAGCATTGTATATAGATGTAATTATTCCTGGTGGTCTAACACCATCGCTCATTAATTTATCATAATTTTCCAACATTGGTAAAAGTTTATGGTGATAATATTGTGATAATTTGACAATAAGATTGTATAAAACAGTGACATCTTGTTCTAGATGGCCAGTATTATTATCATAATTATTATTCGCTTGTGGACCATTTGATTCTGACCGTATATTTTAGATTTAAGTCATTCTCTTGTTGTTTCATCCAACTGAATTCTTCTTGAAGAGCAGTTGTTAAATTACTGTATTGTTCGTGAAAATTATTCAAATATATTATCTGGTTTCGTAAATTAATTTGCATGTCATTTAGTTCACTTTCAATACAATCAAGTTTGGCAATAGATTTGCAAGATAATGAATCCGTTGCTGGTGTACACTTTAACCTTTGTAAATTCTCTTCAATATATGTGAATTCTTTTTGAATTTCTTGTAAATCAGTAATCCGTTTCTCTAGTTTATTGGTAATTGTTGACGGATCAGTATCATTTGATGAGTCATTATTGTCAGGATCGTCAAGTTTATGAGCAAGTGAAACTAAATTCTGACTGATAAAATCAAGTTCTTCATTTATATTTACTGCAGAATTGCTTGTTTGCTTCTCTAGACGTTCAACTAACCTATCACAGCGTTTCATCAAGTCAGCACGTAAACATTTCAATGTTGATAAACGTGTAGCAATATGACCCTGATAATTCTCTTCTGAGCACAAAATAAGGTTTAAAGAAAATTAATCACTACTAGAGAAGGGACAACATATTGAATGTTACAGAGTTCAAATATTGCCACCCGTTCAATTGTCTATGTTAACAGACTTACCCAAGAGAACAGCTACAACCACTTACAACTGGTGACTGACATAGTGATCATAATCTCATTGTTAAGATGTGGTAAGAAGAAAACCTTGGGTAAGTACTCTCTAGTGAACTAGTTTGAATGTTTATAAATGAGTATCTATCAAACAGTTATATTTCTACATAGCCCTAATTACAAGTTATCTTTTAACGGTTGGAGTTAAGTGCAACTGTATGTATTGAACATGTCTATTGCAGCACAGCTCGATACAAAAAACACAAGTATAGTAAACCTTAACGATTTGAAGTTGTGTTGAACTGTAGTCTCGTATTGTACTTACATAATAGTGAGTTCAGTATGAAACACAAAATGGTATCATCACTCATCAGCTTTCTGGTTTTCTGATTAGTGGTTACGAAACGTGAGGATTTGTAAAGTTTATTAATCACTTGGTAAATGTAACAATTGAGTTACTGGGTTCACTGATAGTGTAGTAGAACAAAAACCACGAAAATGTATAAGGGGAATATTTATTATTAAGAAACCATAACACATACTTGAAGATTGTTTGTTAGCGTTTGTAAACCTTGATGTGACTGGCGTGTACTGTAATACTAGAATCGAGTTGTCAGTCAAAATAAGAATTCATAGTTTTTTGCATTACATGAATTCTGATCGAACACATTTCATATGGTTGATTTCATCTTGTTATTACATGCAACCAATTATTACTAATTCGAAATGTTAGTTTTTTGGACAATTAATTTAAACTATCAACTGTACATACACTGGTAGGATTTTATTGAAATTAATATACCTGTTATATATATATATATATTTATGTGTGCTTTAATGTAATGGGGATTTTCTCGATACAAATCTAATATGTTGTACGGTACTGTTGGTGACAAAAAGAAGCTAGAACGAAGTCAATGTACATAAAAGTAAACTTTCAAATGTAAACGATAGATCACAGGTCAGTGTGAATATAGCACAATTTAATTATAAAAAATGTAATTATGATATTTCTTGATTCTATATGTTTATTGTTAAAGGTAAACTAGAACTTCAGTGATGAACAGAAAACGCCAAATTATCTTCGAATTACTTTAATCCTTATCTTACTCAAAAAATATTCAATTCCATCTCACCCGATACTTTCATTTTATGATCTTGTATGTACTTTTTCAGTTATATCTCTAAGATTTTATCATAAAGTGCGATGGATAAAAACAATTCTCTCCATTCATTTCACAATTTGGTAATTTATGTCGCCCGATGTACTGCCATGAGGAGTAACAACTTAGATAGATATACAATTGTGTCCTACAATGCTAACGAGTGACGGCATGACAACAGAGTTCTCTCGATCATTGTTGTTGGTCTGGCACTAATTATCCTATCAACCAGTGATGTATAAAATGATTTGTATTATCTAACTTTGAAAATACTTTATCTTACACTTCGTTATAAAATCTTATTAATTTATATTTCTTTTACAATAATGATATAATCCTTATCGAGTGGATACGTTACGTAATAATTACATAATGACATTTAAATTAACATTGAGTAATTGGAAGAAAGAGGATTATTAATAATCAAAGTAATTATTCAGTCAAGACGTTGCTACGTTGCGTAATATATGAAAAAGAGAAAAGGAACAGAATTTTTTAATGGATGGTCAATAGGATAGTAGTTACGCAAGAATCAAGAGATGAGTGTTGAGAAGTTATAAAGTTCAAAATAACAGAAACAAAAAACAAGTGGAAGAAGTATGCAAAATAGTTCTTTTGAAGGAAATCTTATACTGATGGCCAGGGTAGAGAAAGTGGTTGTACGAATCTCTTTTGAATGCAAAGATCGGGTTTGTGAATATGGATCGTGATGGCTTCCGCTATGTGCAAGAGGCCTCTTACACATTGCTTCAAAAGAACTATTTTGCATACTTCTTCCACTTGTTTTTTGTTTCTGTTATTTTGAACTTTATAACTTCTCAACACTCATCTCTTGATTCTTGCGTAACTACTATCCTATTGACCATCCATTAAAAAATTCTGTTCCTTTTCTCTTTTTCATATATTACGCAACGTAGCAACGTCTTGACTGAATAATTACTTCGATTATTAATAATCCTCTTTCTTCCAATTACTCAATGTTAATTTAAATATATTTCTTTTAACCTAATTCAATTTAATTTAAACTACGAATTCCGTCTAATTTATTTCTGTATTGAATATACATCCACAAATTTAGAATATGTACATGATTCACGGGTGAACTTCTCATTTCTCAGTACCCTGACCAGTTCCTTAAATAAACTGAACCTCATTCATCTAATTTAAGTGGGCTTATTCATCTACATAAAATACAAGCACTAATCATGTATTATGTAAATAATTTGCTAATTTTCTATCCAGTGTACTAGATCCTGTAGGTCAAATAAAACCATTAAAACATATTCTAACGCAGATGTTGAAAATCCCATGATTACTAACGTTATGTTGTACTTTATAAAACTACAAAAAAGAAATTTTTATCACTGTATGAACAAACTGGAAGTGTAGGTTTTTTATAAATTACAACAATACTTTAGTATCTGCATGATTCTTTTAATTGGAATTAACACTGAAGACTATATCTATGAACAAATATTTTATTTATCTTCAGCTTTACGTGTTAAGTGATGAGTAGAGGATTTAAAATCCGAATGAAATGAAATAATTCAAGCATTAAGAAAGAATCATATTACTGATGGATGTTACAGGAGATTGAATTAATAAAGGATTAATTTTATAACAACAACAGGGTGTAGTATTTCACGGATATTCTACTAATCACATTTTCTTGACAAAAATAATCTAATGTAAGTAATTTTAGATATGATACAAGGTAAGTATGTTTCAAAGTATGGGCATTGAGCAGAATTCAATAGAAACATAATAAACTCACTATAATTTTTAAGTGCATGTTTCCAAATGTTTCCTGTCTGTCAGATCTAAAAGCATTAAACCAGTGTTGACTAGGGTTTTTTTGTCAAGTTTATAAACTGGAGTGTCATAATTTGATTGCTGACACATCATTCTATTGTTTCTAATCACTTTAATATTAATCACTCGTTATTACTACCTCCATGTTTTTAATTTATTTTTCTCTCTTCTCATACTCGTCAAGCAGACAATTATCTTTCATATTTAATTTTAGCTTATCATATTTACTTAAATTATCGATCGTTGAACAAATTTCTTTAACACAATATGATGTAATCGTTCTGCTATTTTATTTATAAATTAACGATAAATACGATTGCAGAGCTTGATTGAATGATAGTGTCGAAAAGAATCATCTAGTTCAAAGAATTCAACTTCATAAAATTATTCTCCTGAGCTACAAATCTTCATTACCGTCAACGAAAACTAAAACAAAAACTGTATACATCGTTCAATAAAACTATGCTTGTAAAATAAATACAAATCAAATTACCTGAACTTATTTCTAATGTAGGTTCTACTTTTCCAGTTAACTGTGATAGACCAGTATACTCATTATATAAAATAGTTATAGTACTAGGAGTTACATAATCATCCCTCTCTGATAAACATCTGTCCATATTCCAACTTGATATTATGTAATCAATTTGTGAAGTATCTTTTTTAATCAAAAGTAATAATTGAAAAATATTGTCAATTTCTTTGATATATTCATCACTAAGGTGTTCATTTGTTTCCATTTCTTCAAGTTCCAGTGAAATACGACTTAATTTATTTTCCAATTGAATAAGAGATGAATTAATGAAATTAAATTGTATGTATGGTGACTTTTCATTATTCATTAATTCATGATGATTATTACGTTCCACCATGTGATTATCTCTTGAATCCATTTCATCTATATTGTTACTATTATTATTAATATGATTAATATTATTATTAGTAACATTTATATTGTATAGGGAGCTTGTTATTGAATCCAATACATTGTAATCAGACTGTGATGAGTTACAACAATCAACATTATGGCGGAGTTCAGGTTCTTCTGATAGGATGGACAATTCCTCATTATTATTATCATTAATATTACTATTATTATTGTTATTATTATTATTATTAATAACATCGTCACATTCATCAGTTCTTGGTAAATTAGTTTTCATACAGACAACACTGTTATCCGTATTGTCAGAATCCAGTAAAGATTGAGCATCATGATCAATTGGAATTTGTTTTATCTGCATAGAAGACACCTCTGATAAAATACCAAATGTTTCATGAGAATCAATAATAGATTGTGTATCCCATTTTATATGATCGATATTATCATCAGCATACAATGTTTGATAAGCCGAATCTTCATAATATTTATTATCGTCAATGTGTAGGAGATTTGAAATAGTTGAGACTGGTGAAAATTTATCATTCATTTGTGTAATATCATTTTCAGTGTTGTCACCATCTTCATTATCCTCATAAGCAACAACGGAAGTATCACCTTCATTTATTTGTGAGGCATTAGTTGTGATATTAGGATTCATATGGAAACATTCCATAGATACAGACTTGTTTGTATGATCAAAAGAAATATCTAATTGTTCAAAATTTATTTGATCATCATTATGTGGTGTATTTAGTTGACCTTGCCAGATAATAAACATATCCCACTTTCTTGTATTGAGATCATTATCATCATTAATAGATGCAAAAGTTTCATTAACCAAAGAGACAGGAATCACATGATGTCTAAACCTAATGGGAAAATTAAAATAGGATTTTTTTCGAGTACGTTAATTTATATTTATTTGAAGGGGTTTTGTGGAGATTGTAGTAATTTCAATAGTTGAGATCATGCGTCAGTTGGAGCTAGACCACCATGGAAAACCTGGAATCCCTCGAGGCTGGGTCATGGATGAGCACTGCTGAGGAATCCTACAATAGGACGAAACGGTCGTCCAATGCTTCCAGGTTTTCCATCATGGTCTAGCTTCAATTAACTCATGATTTTAACTATAGAAACAAATTTAGTTATTAAAATATAAACTCGAAAATATTAACACAAGACATCGTAGAGGGAGAGTTTCAGTTTAAGTCAGCTGCTTTAGAGTCGATGGAGTGTAGTAGTGCACTCTTACGATCAGTTCCATACTGGTTCATATTCAGGACCTTTAAATTTCATGGTCAGCAAACATTAGCTTTAGGACTAATAAGTTAGAATTCAGTCTCCAACATTTCTTACTTTATAGTCAATTACTGATACAGACTAATTTTCGTTTTTAATCTCCCTCTATTGTTACTAAAACTACTAAAACAAATGATGAGATCTCTAACTTCATTTTTCGACTCAATTTTAAACATAGTTCTTTCAAACAAAGATTAGCATAACTTAAAATCATTCAAGATACTTTTAAGTAAAGTAAGAACTCTCTGCCTGGAAAGCGTTAAAGATCCTCTAATTGTTAATGGTAACGAAGATGGTTGTGAAAAATGGGAGACAAATAAATGTAACAACCAATAACCTAACTCTTGGAAAGAAACCGATTTGCTATTCATCATGTGTTCAAAATAAGGGATCCACAGAATGACCAAAGGGCAAAGGACTTGGAACTTCCTCAGAAAGTTTGGTTTGAGAGTACAATTGTAAAGGGTTCGGAAATTGGACTAAATGGATGTTCTCTCTACGTCAGATCCAACTTTATTTATAAAACAAATGCATCTGAGAAAGTATTGATCAAGAATAATGGTTTTATCAAACCTTATGAATATATTCCCATAATTATATGCCAGGAACTCAATCTTTCTTTAAAAAAGGTCGACAGTTCTGGATCTTTGTCAAGATGACATACAGGGTACCATGGTTACTTATGCCAAGCGATTTAAACTTAATCTCTCCAAACAAAAAATAGAGTGTATGTATCATCCATTTCGCTTTCAATAAACTACTTCCCATTATATTAACTGTTGATTTGAGTTCCTCAAGATCCCTTGGTCCCTTCGCTTATTTTGTAGCGGTCATTATTCAATCTATAACGGATTTTATGAAAAATCTACCTGTATATCCTAGTAACAGAACTTATTCAGTTACGAACAAACTACTTTAAAATTATCAGAATGTGTTCTGTGGAGATTTTTAGAAATTTTCACAGATTGAAATCATGAGTCAGCTGAAGCTAGACCACCTTTGAAAACCTGAAAGCACTGGACGGCCGTTTCGTCCTAGTATGGGACTCCTCAGCAGTGCGCATTATTATTATTATTAAAATGATTTGTGCTTTATATATTTCAAAAGATGTAAGGAACTTCAATCCACTCTTTAAGTCAGAATACATTATTTGTCATTCTTTACTATATAACACCAGTTTAAGTTTGTTTAAAGTATTCTCAAAACCAAACCATAACAATTATGAGGGTGATGTTTCCAATTAATGTTCAAAAACAGTTGATTTCTATTAACTTAAATGACTAAATAATTGACATCATATGACACAAAATCGAGTACATCGTAATAAAAACTATTCAAAAATTGACTAGCTTTTTTTGCACCCTTTATGACGCAATTTTAGAAAATTCCCTTGTCGACATTTGGTCTTGATTTCATCTGTAAACACTAATTCATATTACATCTTTCAATGATTAATTTATCTAATCAATATAGTAGGGAAATTTATGAGTAAAACTAAGAACAGATATACATATAGATAAATACTTGTGAACACATGTAACTGATGTACGATGACATTGTTGAAGTTCATCCCATGAAATAATTCATTCAATCGACAGTCATGTCATTTTGTAGTGAAGTATTCACTACTTTTTTAAATACAGATAGAGTTCAACACAAACTACCTTGTCATCCTCTCTGTAAATACATATGTATATAAAATTAATGCCGAAGAATGTTTTCCGTCTGACTTGTTATAGGCTTTTGGTATTACTCAATATTTAATTTTATGATGTGTAAATTTTTGTGCATTACCTATTATTAATTATTTTTCCTTATCATTCTTTCCTGGGTTTTGAAGGAAAGATGTTATCGTTGGAAAGAGTCCTGAAGGTAGTTAGTAAGGTATATGATGAATCTTTTGATGTCATTACGAATATGATTGTAGGCAGACATTTAAAATCTTGAGAATTACTGACAAATGTTATTTTATCAGGTGGTAAACGTCCACTCCGTTCACCTCTTCATCCTTATATATATTCCGGTAAGACGAAACGCCGATATATAAAAGTCCATGTATGAGAGCAAAATTATAAGATTATTACGGTACCATAACTAGCACATCATCGTCGAACAATCAGTTGAGTGGAACTCGTCACTGTACATCAACTTAATCGATTATGAAAAGGCATTTGACAGTGTAGACAAGAGGACGTTATGGAAACTTCTTCGACACTACGGAGTTCCTGAGAAGATTGTCAATATTATCCGGAACTCATACGACGGACTACAGTGCAAGGTCGTGCATGGGGGACAGCTGACAGACGGATTCCAAGTAAGGACCGGAGTCAGACAACACTGTCTACTCTCTCCTTTCCTTTTTCTCCTGGTGGTCGACTGGATTATGAGGACCCCAACATCTGAAGGAAAACACGGAATACAATGGACAGCCCAAAATCAATTAGACGATTTGGACTTCGCAGATAACCTAGCCCTCCTATCGCATACACACGAATAGATGCAGACAAAGACGGCCAGTGTAGCAGCAGTCTCTGCATCAGTAGGTCTCAGCATACACAAGGAGAAAACCAAGGTCCTCAAATACAACACGGAGAACAGCAATCCAATCGCTCTTGATGGCGAAACTCTGGAAGATGTAGAATCCTTCACATACCTGGGAAGCATCATCGATGATCAAGGAAGTTCAGATGCAGACGTAAAGGTGAGGATTAGCAAATCAAGGACAGCATTCCTAAAGTTGGAAAACATATGGCACTCAAAACAACTTTCAACCAATATCAAAGTGAGGATCTTCAGTACGAATGTCAAGGCAGTTCTACTGTATCGAGCTGAAACTTCCAGAACTACTACAACCATCATCAAGAAGGTGCAAGTATTTATAAATAGTTGTCTACGCAAGATACTCAACATCCATTGGCCGGATACCATCAGCAACAGCATTTTGTGGGAGAGAACAAACCAGCTTCCAGCTGAAGAGGAAATTATGAAAAGACGATGGAAATGGATAGGAGATACACTACGCAATAAGTCAAACTGCATCACGAAACAAGCCCTAACCTGGAATCCTGAAGGGGAACGGAAAAGAGGAAGGCCAAAGAACACATTGCGTCGGGAAATAAAAGCAGATATGGAAAGGATTGCCCAGGACAGGGTTGGATGGAGAATACTGGTAAGCAGACTATGCTCCTTCACGATGAGTAATATATGTATATATATATATATATATATATATATATATATATATATATATATAAGTATTACGGTAGAGGATGAGCAATACAACCCTATTTTTTCTTTACTGAATACTCTAAAAATGTATTAAAATTTATATTAATGAAGGTTGGTTATATGAGGATCGAAATAGGACCGGAAAGTTTTCAGTTGAGTTACAGAGTCGCAGATGGAAAATGCTTAGTATTCCCCCAATTAAGATGAAACGGTTTACCATTAATTGCTTCCTGGTTTTTTATTCCTCTATCCTCAAATGTCATAACAGGTAAAGTAAACTAAGCTTACACCAATTCTTTTGAAATTAATTAAATTAAAACGTATTTATGCTTACCAACTGAAATAAGCAGATGTTCTATAGGAACACCCATTGTTCATTTGTTGGCTTTGTTCACTATGAATTAATTCGTTCTCATTCTGTGCGATGGCTGAATTAACCAGTTCCTTTCCAGTACACTTCAAAAAGTGTGATTTGCTTTGAATAGTTATAATTAATTCACTGCGGTAGTATGAAATAAAATGACATGGACTTGTACTGTAATATTTTTCATGACATTTATTACTGTTGAGCCTCTTTGCATGCGTTCCATGTTCAATCCCGATTGTTATATTTAAAACGGTTGTATACATTTCTACAGGTGGATAGGAATCTGTCGGATCCATATTTAGACCAATCATACAGTTATATTGTATACCTTTCAAACTCTTTAATGGATAGAAATAGAAGGATAAAATTACAAAGTCATCATTGATTAAAAGTGAAATGTATCAGATAGGAGTTGTTGAAAAACTACTAACAATAAATTAAAACCGATTAAGTAGACGAAACAGGGAAAAAATATTTATCAACATCAAGAAGAAACAGATTATACTTAACTGCTAATTTTATGTCTCAATCGTCATATTTCGTTTACTTGGAATATGCTCAATTCGATAATTTTTCGAGGATAAGATTGACACAAAGATATATGTCACCTCAGATAGACTGCTGTCGATTATTGTTATTGTATACCGGATTACAGTTATTATAACGTTTTAACTTAATGGTAAGACTACTAGAATAAATAAGATAATCAAACTGATAAATTACTAGCGAAAACCAAGTTGTACAGCAACCAAATAGATTGAAGAAAACAATTAATAACCAACTAACTGAGCTTGTAAATATAAGAATATAAGAATGGTTTAACTGATGTACTTTATCATCCTAAAATTGTTTATGAGTAGAGATTAGAATAACCACCGCGGATACGATAAGGATGTATTTCCAACCCGGTTCTCAGATACTCAGTAGCGCGAAAGATCAGTACTCATTGAGTATACAGTACCAATTTATTCTGTGGAATATTGAATTACAATAGCCAATGCTTATTTAAACCCTACCAAATATATTCTTGAAATTATTACTACTATTAATTTTTCGATTTCAATGTGATCGCTTACTTTCATTTTCTAATATAAACCAGAACCTCTAATATATCATTTATATAAGAAAAAAACAAACATTTGATTGGTGTGAGTTTGAAGAAGAATTCAACATATCTATCAGATCGTTAGAACAAAAATTAACGATATATCCATGTACAAATATCAGTGAAATACTATATTGAACTTTTTGAATTCATTAGCACAAACAGAATCAAGATTGTCACTTTTATTACTCGTTGACAACTTATACTGTTTATACAAAATTCAATTGTTATAAAATATTTTGTTTTAATGATTGAACTTTGGATATAAATATTAGTTGGAATTTGTTTTTAACACTAATTATCATTCATAGACTAGTTAATTCACACACACATACATAGAACTCAATTGATCTTGATAAAATATGATAGTTCTACAAGGACAAAACTACAATATATGGATATAAATGTACTCAAATTAACATTTCATTGTGATCATAGTAATCTTTCACAAAAATGGAAACTTAAACAATAGATCTTAATCATTTGAAGAAAATGAAAGAAAATCGATAGGGAGTAAATGAGAATGTCTTTAAATGAATTTCACAAATCATGACAAAAGAAAATGTTGAATTCGACTAGTCAGTCAGTCAGTAAAATTGGGCGCATATATGCAACAGTTCAAGTTACTATGCCATATCAGTGATAGTAGAAAAAGTTGTATATTAACAATAGGATTCAATAATAAGTGATGACTTCATCGAGTAAGAAGTATGAGATTTAAGTGAATGGATCTACTCCCGTAATGAAAAGCTTCTGAGCCATGTAACTCAACGTCTTCACCCATTGTTTACCATACTTTCGCGTACCCTAGCCCGTTAGTTCGAATCCAATGACACAACTCAATCTAACAGTTTGTGATTTCATGAACTGATATCATGTCTTATTTGGCCGGATGTTTAATTACTCTGGTTTTCACTAGTTCTTTATAAGTATTGTCAATTTGTTATGAAAATAATTAAATGAGACTATTAAAACGACCAAACTGCATCATGAGGCAAGCCCTAACTTGGAATCCTGAAGGAAAGTGGAAGGTCAAAGGACATATTATATCGGGAAACAAATGCAGATATGAAAAGGATGAATAACAACTGGAAAGGATTGCCCAGGACATGGCTGGAAGGAGAATGCTGGTGAGCAGCCTATGCTCCTCCACGAGGAGTAACAGGCGTAAGTAAGTAAGTAAGTAATCAAAACGACGTAAAAAGAAAATCCGAGTTATATGTATATATCTATGATTAATATCTATAGATTCGAATTGACACAGCTTCAAATAAACGAAAATGAAGAGAAAACAACAAAGTGAAGTTAGTACATGTTGTAAAAGACAAAAGTACTGAAAAATTGAAAAAAATATTTATGAGAAATAAAACGTTAGAAAATTATTTTGATAGTACAAATGGAAAAAAAATCAAGAGAAAAGTAAGAAAACGTCAATTTTTAAAGGTAAATCTGAAAAAGTACTAGGAGTTGACCTTAAATGAAATTTGAACAAGGAAAATAAAAGGTCTTTTTAAGAATTTTTTTCACAAAAGATAAAATTAGTACACATATAATTGACGTGGGCGGGGGGGGGGAGAAGGAGGGATGTAGGTAAATTGGGAAAAAAAAAGTCAAACTAAGGTGTGGTCATATCGCTTTTTTTTTAGAAAAAAAACCTATTTTCAGTGTTAATTTCATGGCTTGAATTACTGGTACTAAGAAAAAAAAACACTTTTTGAGAAAACAATTTTAACTAATGGACAAAAATTATGTGAAATTAAAACTTTGATTCGAAAAACAACAAACAATTAACTAGAATTTATGAATAGAATTATCTTTGGGATCGGTATGTTTAGTTTGAGGTAGATTGTTTACTCTTTATACAGTTTTATCAATAAAACTTAAAAAGTATCAATTGTTCTTTTTTATGAAATGGTAAATTTCAGAATAACCAGTTCATTTTCTAAGCAATCTGATCAAGAAATTTTACGATGGCTTGAAAAGAGAGAATGAAAGAGATTTTACTTCCTCATTAATTTAGTTCAATTGTTAAACTTAGTCAGTTGCTCGTCCTATAAACGTTTCTATACATCGACTTTTATAGTATTCTATCACTACGTTTAGTTAATAAGTCACTTAGGAATGGAATTCGTAGTTAAACTCAAGTTCCATTATAAACTGAAGTGAATGTGGCATATTAAACGATTTGAGGAATGTAAACTTTCATCGAATAACGTGAGTAGGACATATGTTACATATACCAATACAACGCCTACCTCAATGAACTTTAGTTGTTAGTATAGGAGTAAGTTGGAAAGAAGTTAAGGATGAGTAAACTGAAACGTGACATCAGTCCATAAAGTCACTTACCGTTTGCCTGAGCCATATTCACAGTTTCAGAATGTTTGGTAGATGTCCATATGATAACCACAAACAGTGATTGAAGACGTTTAGTGATAGGACTCAGAATCGTTCATACAATCATGCAGATGCATTCACTATTTATCGTACTCTTGATCTTGAATTGCAGAATTACTTCAAACGATTTTCCATTTTGTCTCCTTGAATCATAATACTTGTTCTCATTATAATTGCTATTATATTATATCGATCTATTTTGGAATTCATCTCATCCTAACTGAGCACATCCTGGACATCAAATTTCAGATCACACATTATGAATATGTCATCAAAGTAACTCATTTGGTTAGTGATGCTTTCCAATTCATTACATTTAAGGATGATTATAAGAAAATCGACTAATAGTGTACTCAGTCAATACTTTACTCAAGTAAACAGTATTTAAGTTTTCACTAGAAAAAAACCTTGAGTAACATTTTTTGGGGCTTTTATAGAAAGCTATGAGTTAAAATGAGACCTTAATTTATTGATTCCATTGAGACATCATGAGTGAACTGAAGTTTAAAATATGAACAATTAAATTGTAGCCCAATGAATCAAAGATATTACCCTTGTTATGAGACCTAAAGTGTTTTGTCGTATATGAGCATATGGTTGCACACTCGTAAAGAGTTTAAAGTTAAAACAAATGTTTTTTTTTCAATACTACATCAGTAAAACTTGTTTAAAAATAATATTCTTCACGAAACATAGATTTAGCAGTCGACTGTCGACAGTGAACTTAGTTTGATTGATGGTTACATTTTTCATTAAATTACAGTAGGTTGTAGTGGCACTGAACAATAACCGCACAATCCAAAAAGCTGAACACGAGACTACTCAGAAAATAGATATTCAATATTTAACGCGGATAAATACCTAACGATGGAGAAGGCGCGAAGAATGAATTGAATGGTCTGGAGTTGATCGAGTGGCATGGCTCGGCCATGCAGGCGTGGTCTCTGCGGAATGTTACCTTATATCTTCTATTCATATTAAATATATTGTTCTTTCTCTAACCTAACCTTGTTCTACATCATGTATTGGTAATTGATACGATACAGTGAGTTGGTGTAGTCGATGGTGTGACTTCCACGTAAGATCTTATAGATTAGGCAGTTATATCATGACAAATCTACAAATTTAGGATTAGGTCTATTATTAGAGCACTACTAATATCATAGTAGACCATAGTTCCACAAGATCCTGGGTTCGAATCTCGCAAGGGGCGAGGTCGTGGATGTGCACTGCTGAGGAGTCTCACAGTAGGACGAAATTACATTTTATTCCAAGTGAATTAAACGGAAAGATCTGATGATACGAATCTATTCGATCACTGAAATGATCTGTTTACAAATATTTAAACGTTATTAACAAATATAAAAATAATGTTTCATTATGTTATAGAACAAAGACTAAAAAACAACCAATTAGTAGTAGAAATTCTCATAGTTTACAACTGGTTTAAATAACATATATGTAACTATTTACATTGGCAAATATTTGTAAGTCAAAATCTCACACAATTAAAAATATACACTAAATAATTTCAAAATACACTTATGAAATTCAGTTGTTTGACCCGATACACTCGTGAAACAATGGAAATGATTCCGTTTGTATTAGTTGTTTGAAACTTCCCGATGATGTTTAGGACTGATGAGTCAAATAAAAATGACTCAAAATTCAAATCATTGCACAAGCCAGTGGCTATCTGGATTCTGTATCCAATGGATAATGCGATGACGTTCAAAGCGCAAAGTAATAGGTTCGAATCCTAGGGCCAACATCAACTCTGAGATGCAGGTGCGTCCAGCTAACGAGTTCCGAGTAGGACAAAACGCGCGTCCTAGA